GTGTTGGATACAGTACTTTGGGACATATTGTATTATTCCCTACTGCATTGTACACAACATCGATATCTCACTTGTATAGGGTCATTCCCTTTTTGTGTGGATGTAGTTTGTCCGACAGACTTGCGTCTGGCATACTTGTGGCGAATCCCGACATCACGATCAAAATACGATTGTACGTGTCAAAAACTTTGTACTTGAATAGTTTCTTTTCGGAACGTAAAAACTCATATTTCGTCATATCCCAACATACACGATGCATCCAGAATACGCCTATTATTTGTTCGTAAACTTTGAACAAAGATTGATGGCACTGAAAGATCTTTTTGACAAACTGATCCACCGCGCAGATGACGACATCGCTGCACTAGAAAACGACATGGCAAATCATGAGGTTTCAGAGGTGAACTGGCTCGGAATGATACAGTGCACCTGAAGAAAGATTACAGAGCCATGTATGATTCGCTATCGGAATACTTCATGTGTTTCGATTACAAGACTTCCAAACAAAAGGTCCGTCAACAGGTAAAACAAAAAAGTACATGCAAACCTTGAAAGTACGAAATATGCAGGGGATGAAAGCTACATGATCATAGCTAGCAGCGTCGTTCGATAAGATTACTAATAAATTGCATACAGCAAACTTTTTGTCATCTGCTCTCTTAAAAATGTAGCATTTTCAGCCCCGGCCGATTAAAAGGAGTCACGCATTAGTGTGATGTCCAATTGTGACGTTGCGCCTTAAAGTGATGTCCTATTGTGACGTCGCTCATTAATGTGATGTCGATATTTGTTAATGTGTGTCGCCGAACACTAAAGTGTCTTCGATTTTTATTTGTGAAAAAAGATTAGTCGTGTTTGATAAAATCCGTTCCTGCAAGAAGAGTGATATTCTCGCATCGAATAAAAGGGGGAATAGGGTGACGGGAGAACGCGGGCAAGTTTGGCTGGGGAAGGCTGAAACATGTAGTCCAACACATTCTGTTGACTACTGGTGCTCCTCCCGAGTATTGGTGTTACTGTGTCCAATACGTTGCTTTTGTGAAAGCAAGAACCTCCAAGAGATCGCTACGCTTCCGAACCTCTTGGGAATTTCGATTTGGAGGTGTTCCGGATATAAGCAAATGCAGATTCTCTTTCTGGCAACCTGTATGGTTTTACACTCCGAGGATGCGTTTCCAAGACAGAGGATGATGAAAGCGAGGTTCCTGGGATTCAGTCTTGACTCTGGTGATGATTTTACATATGTGATAGTCACTGATCCTGATTCTGACAAAGAACCACATCGGATCTTTACCCGCTGCGTCATCCGCCCGCGGCATGTTCGCGAGGCCGCACCTGTTGTGGTCCGAAAGGGGGAGACAAAGTTCGAAATTTACAAGGAGGATGAACGCACCATCTTGGAGGGAATAGCTGATCCTGATTTTCCGCCTCAACTTTCTGAAAGGGCGCCAAATCCACTATTGACCATCCAAGAGGAGCCCGAACCCTTGGACACCATAGAGGAGTATGAAAGAGCTATCGAAGAAGTACATGGACCACCTCCTTCGAAACGACTTTGTACCGACCCTATGTCCGATGATGCTTTGTTGCGAACTGATCTGGAGGAGCTCCAGCCTCTCTCTGTTAAGACCGTAACAAACTCTGCTTCCAAACTACCGAGAGAACAAGCAGAACCTACGATTCAGCCACCAAGGGATCAAGAGATTGCACCAGCTGTGCCTGCTGCCACTGTCAAAGCAACAACTGATGGACAGAGCAAACCGGCTCAGAGTCCAGCCCCGGTAACACAAGAGGAACACACCCAAGTGACAGATCAAGGTGAACATGCCTCAGAATCAGATGATGATGCTTCGGTTCAATCAGCTGGTGATGACTCGGTTCATTCTGCCGATGGATACCTCGATGATCACCATGTGACACCGGAGTCGCTTGACGTTCATCTCCAAAATATAGCTGGTATTTTGGATGATGAAGACCTCTTTGATTTGGTTCATGGGCATGCATTTCGTAAGGGAGTCCTGTTTCTCCGCATTCTCTGGAAGACTGATGAAACCTCTTGGGTAACTTATCGCGCTTGTCGTGAAGATTTTCCCTATGAGACTGCCAAGTACATCTGTGCCAACAAGATTGGGTCCTGCTCCGGTAACCACAAGAATGGACCACACCAACGTTGGGCACAAACGTTCTTAAAAAAGACTCAACGTGTCATGCGTCGATTTGTAAAATACAATGGTTATTCCAAGCCTATGAAGGAAGGCCAGGTATTTTGCTGTCCTGAAGAAGACGACAGCTACCAGATTCAATACACCAAGCGTTTCAAGAAGTCCACCCCCCGCCAGAATCGACATGCCAAGAAGCCTGGACGTTTCTGACGACCTCTTCCTGTCGAGTATGGTATTCCGATTCCGCGGACCGTTAGACAAGCGCTTGCCATTGATGACAAAAACGGAAACCACCTTTGGAGAGAGGCAATGGAGAAAGAGATTGCCTCTCTCATCGCAATGAATTGCTTTACCTTTCACCCGTCTGATTACAAGCCTGGCCCAAACTCCCAGTTTGCTCCTTTGCGAATGATTTTTGAAGCCAAGCAAGATGGACGATGCAAAGGAAGATTGGTTTGCGGAGGTCACCTCATGGACCCCCAAGGGATCTCGACTAAGTCTACCGTTGTGAAGGGTGTTAGTGTCAGATTACTTGACATGATGTGATACCAGTGAAAATTGGGCTGACATTTGTACTAAAGCGTTGGGAGGCGTCAAATTGAGTGCCATTCTCAGTTGAACTATGCTTTAGCCAGCTAGTCCACGTGCAACCACCTCAACACATGATAGGTACATCGATCATGTTCCTCTTACTTAGCTTTAGACTAGTTGTAAATACGTGCCTGTATTCTTTAGTATTGGCATAGTGCCATGCTTGAGAGGAGGTAGATCGGGTGATGTCTTCGTCCATAAGCTACAGACGAAGAGGAGGTCAGGATCGAGTTAGTCGTCTTACGACTTACTAGATCGTCTGTCCGTATGTCCTCATACATCACATCATTCATCACGTTCATCTAGCCACTCTATGAGTTACTGACAGTACCAGGTATGCATGTTTCGTTTTTTCAGACGCGCCAGCACATCAATGCCATTTTCCTGTACAGTACTGTATGCCCAAGAATGAATCATCGAGAGGCAATGGCCCATCGCATTTATGATCTCGTCCCCACCAGGTTGTGCTATTTGATATTCCGTGACGCATATATTATATTAATACTGTAGCAAGACCGCACCCAACGACATTAGAGATCACAGAAAACAAAAGCAGCAGCATTTTTCATAAATGACAAGTCAGCGCGTCCATCCACAGCTGTGGAACGAAATGTGTCTCTTCCGCGCTGTCGCCAAGGTGGACCATCTCGGGAATTTTCTTCCATTTCCCAACATCACTGTCGTGCACAATCTCCAGCTAAATGGACGATTGAAGTCGCTTCCCCAAAAGCTTTTACAAGTCGCTGGAACTTATATCAGCCCGCTCCCACCCAGTTCCTATCATGCCACCCTCTTGTGTGGTCCCGTTTTTGACTTTCGTCCCTTTTCCAAAAAAATCTTGTACGAGTCCTGTTGGCGAACCATGGCCATGTTTTTGAACGATACCTCGTATTGCCCAGAGTTGGTAGTGCATTCGGTTCTCTGCTTTCCTGCGGGAGAGGTTGTTGTCAAGTTGGGACCAGCAAAGAAGGGTAGGGAAGAGTCGAATTCGCAAATCATCAAGGACAAGCTCCGAGATATTTGTACACAAGAAGCTATCCCGATGATGGATGAATACGATCGGACGTGGCATATTACTCTTGCTTATGGTCGACAAGCGACACTTCCAATTCCACCTACAGTGCAGAAACAAATCTGTGAGGTGGTGCAGGATGCCTTTCAAGTACTGCCAGACATGAACGATGACGACCCCATGGTATTATCGTTGGAGAGTGCCCAATTGTGTTTGTCTCCGGATATGAAACGGTTTGTGCCGTGGGATGGAATGCCACCATAGGAGCTGCAATGCTAGACATACAGACATACAGTACTGCACCGGGAGTATTACCATCATTTAGAGCTTGGAAATGATTTAATATTTAAAAAGTTTGCCAAGACATTGCACTATATATATAACATCCCCTTGTTGTCAACGCCTTAGTCATAGTAATCGTTGTACGGTTCGTCATATTCAAAGTCTTTTCGTTCCAATCCCTTATTCAGCGTACTACTCCTGCGCAAACCTTGTCCAATATGGTTACCAGCATTGATCGCCCCGTCGACCGCACCAGCTGCAAGATTGGCAGTACCCTTCACTGCATACTTGGTAGCCTTTCCAGTGGCTGAATTATATTATATTATAAAATGACAAAAGCAAGATTGAGCACACATGAACATTCCACAAATAACGGAGCAATTGCTTGATTGCTTGCTTGCTCATTTTACGAATTCCGACGACTTACCTTTTGCAACACCAAGGGTTGCACCAAGAGTGGTTCCGACCACAGCCCCCGTCACCCCGACTACAGCACCGGTCAACGCCCCACCGGCTTCTACTGTAGTGCCGACCACGACGCCGGCACCCTTCTTCACATTGTGAGTGACTTTCTTCAATCCCTTCTTCTTTTTCTTCTTTTTGGTTCTAGCAAGAGTGGCATCGTACCAATACGATGCCTTCTCTTCTTCGTCATCTCCATCTCCTCCTTCGTCTTCATCTTCCGCCTCGGAATCCGTCGTATACATTCCAGAATCATGTGAAGCAATGTCGAACGAACGTGCGCTCTTGGTCTTGACATTAATGTTCCTTGGCGGGGGTGCCTTGAGGACCCGAGCAAATTCAGGTTCTGGTGGCCAATCATAGAAACGGCTGTACTTGAGCGCGCTGTTGGGCACAATCACCTGTTTCACCTGCTGTGGATCGACATTCTTGAATTTGATGTGTTGGTTGCCTGGGGCCATACTCGAAAACAGCTGAATCTCAGAATATGGCTCGTTCTTGTGAAGCGATTTCGACTTGACAATTTTGTCAAATATTGGTGGTTGATATCCTGGTTTTGACTCTTGGAACAGTCGGTAGAGCCAATTTTGCGGTCCAAACAGAACGATACCAATTACTCCAAACAAAATTCGGTATGGCATTAGATGGAACATCAATACAAGTACTGGACCGATTATCGCAATCCAGAAAGAAAGGATGGGATCTTGCCATGTCATCACGTTGTAGCCTGCTCTCGACGCGAACAATCCAACCTGGAGAATTTCAATCATTGGTTGTACAATAACAGCAACTCGATTGATCCATGGATTGGAATGCGAGTACTTGTGGATCTGCAAAATTTTGTCGTACTCATCAACTCTTGCTTCGTATGGAGTGCGGTTGTTCTTTTTGTCTTCATCGTCCGCACCATCATGATTCGCTTTATTTCTCCCAAACAAGCCACGCTTTGTCGCGACAGAGCCTGTATCCTTATTCTCTTCTGGGTTCCTGCTCGGAAAGAGAGCTTGGTCAACCTTGTAAACCCGATCGTTGAAGAGATGACCCACCAAGCCGTGGGTCCTGTGCCGCATTTCCATCATGGATTTTGCAAATGGTTTATCCGAATGTCCAGAAGTTGGTGCATTCCTGCTGATTTCCTGATTAGGGGGTTTGAACAGAAACTTTTCCTCCACCACGGTTCCTTTTTTGCGCCTCTTCAAGATGGTTTCTACGTCGTCGTCACTATCGTAGGCGTGTTGATCAACGATAGAATCATTCAACTTTCTGGATTCCAAAAGTTCATCCAATGAAGGATTGTTTCGTTGTTTCAACCGTCCATAGAGGTCATCGGGATCTCCAAATTCCATCGTCCTTCGACGATTGGTAGCATTGGTAATATTCTGCGGAAGGTTCATGATATTGTGTGGCAAGTTGGTGGCCGCATTCAATGTGGCACTAGCTACTAAGGAACCTCTTCGTATACCCGTCTTGACAAGCTGTCCTGGGTTCAAGGACTGGGCAACTTCGGCAACCTCTTCATCATGAAAGGCTGGTGCCACTCCAAACTCGGCGCAATCCACAATCTCGCGGGCTTCTTCCCTTTCCCTCGTCATTTTCTTAGACTGTGAAGATGAAATCACAAGTGCTTGTTTCACGGTGAACCGAGGATGGCTTTTGCCATCGGAAAAGGGGAATTCGACATGATCCCGTTTACTGTCAATGCCACGACTCACCAATCCCAAACTTCTGAAGAATTTCTTGAGCTTTGGAGCTGGACCTTTGATCATACTTTTATCAATGCTGTCATAGTCCAAGAACTGATATAACAGTGGTTCATCTTTTAGTTCGTCTTCTTGGACCACCACAGGCTCAAAGAGCTTCAGTTCTTTTGCCAAACGACGACCGAGAGTGACTCCGTCGGATCGACTGTAGGCATACCCATTGCTGGTCAAAAAGTCGACTACCTCAGTTCCCAAGAAAGCATTCTTGTAGGTCTTGAGTCGATGCTTATGCTTTTTGACCTTGATCCGTCGTTTCATTTCTTCGGCAATCTCTGACAATTGGCGTTTGGTCGGATTGATAATCTGACCTTTGGCAAGTTCAAATTCAATGCAATCTTCGGCATCCACCACATGGGCATCTGATTCCATATTCAAGGCCTCAATGTACTTTTTCCTTTTCCCCTTGGTCCCATATGCCAGTGCATTGAACAATTCTTCAATGGATGGTGCCACGAATCCATTTTGAATGGGAGAATCCATGGCATAATATGCATAATTCATGTATAGGAGCAACAAAAAGTAGGTCAAGATGTGTCCTGGCACATACCGAAATGTATTAGCGTACACCGAGTGCATCCATGCAAAAAAGACAAAGCCGGATATGGCTGGATACACCCAAAACCGAAGATTGTAAATCTCTCTCCGCCGTATGTACCGAAAGAGGTGTATCCGAGTAAAGGTCATTTCCCGCATGGTCGACTTGAGCAATGTCATGCTAAACTTGCCCGGCATGTGCCTTCCGTGCACCAACTGCGCCACATTCCGAAAGGACTTTTCGTCGAGACAATTAATCTTGTGTTTTTCGTCCGGGACAAACTTTGGTTTGCTGGTGGGCAAATAACTCAGGACGGCCGCTCGTTCGCTGACCCAAATCAAATGCATTCGTACCCGAATTGCCCCCTGTTGATTCCGGGTAAACACATGAGCCGATTGACGGAGTGGCAAAGTGATATCATAGGTGGTTCCGGCCCTTAATCGAGCCACATCAATCACAATGCGTCCAATAAAGTCCGAGGTGGTGGATGTCTGACCTTCGGCCTTGCCATCAAAGACTCCCAGATAGATCTTATCATAGGCCTTTTGAATGGGAAACATGCAAGCCCGTCTCATTTGGCTAAGCCACATGGGATTTCTTTCCGGAGGCAGCATATCTGTTTTGAAGGCATGGGAACCACAAACGGCAATCGCGTAGGCCGAGACCTCCCGGGTCGCTGACGTCGTAGGAAGTCCAAAACATTGCAAGACCTCCAGTCGAAGCTGGCCAATTTCCTTGCCTTTTTGGTAGGGCACTCGTAAATCATGATAATACGCCGACTTTTGATTCATTTCGTCTTTCATTTCGGCCCGATTCAAATACGTGTTGGGATACGAATCGTCGGGCATGACACGAAATCGATCTTTGGAATTTGTTTTCATTCGATGTGCCGACTCTTCCACATGAAATTCCTGACTGGCAGTCCTAAAGGGCGACCAAGCTTGTTTGGAAACGGAGGCACTGGAAACAGAGGCACCGCCATCTGGGTTTCTGCTCTTCTTTTTCTTCTTTTTGAACATTTTCTTGAATCGTTTCGATGCCGCGCTGCCACTGCTCTTGAAACTAATTTCATCGTCCGACATGTTGGTAAAGTCCGATGCTCTGGGAGTGCTTCCGTATCCATAACGTTCCATGGAAGCAGCATCTCGAGGAGGAGGAGGAGAAGCACTGACAAACTCTGGGACATTTGCCCCGGATGGTCGTGGCTCGGCGCTGCGGCCACGATTTTTCCGTCTAAACATGATTGACGCTGTGGAAGTTGCTGCCAACCGTTGACAGATCACTTCAGTTTTAGATGTGCAATATTTACAGTATTCTAAGAAAGATCACCGAAACATGAAAGTGTTATTATACTTTGTCGTTGTAAAATAGTAAGTGCTTGTGACGACGTTCTGTTGTGTCGTGTCGTGTCGTGTCACAAATTCCTGTTTGTTTGGTTGCGATGGGTCGGTCCAAAACACACGCCCAACGAGAACCCGAATGTCTGCAGAACATGAATATTTAGTGTTCAACGGAGACCTAAAAGGTCCGAATGACTTCCTCACAATTTCGCTCCGGACACCTAACATCAATCGGAAGCCGATAAGGTAATCATCCTTTACACCGAGAGTGTCGATTACAGAAGCAGATAGGCTACAGCAATACAAATACCTAGATGTTACTGCAACGATCCAATCTGTCCGTATTCCTCTGCCTGTCCATCCGCGGATACCACGCCGCGAAAGGTGTTGGTCAACGACTTTTACTATTGTAGTAAAATCGGCCGGGCTCGAATGAAAAGCGATGGAGTCAGCGGCGGGAGCTTTATTTGCCGATAATGATGCCTGTCGATTACCAACGACTAGGAGTATGAATACATGACATGTTGGTAACGCTCCGCCCCACGACGCAAAGGTCTCATTGTTTGCAATTTCTATTAGCGCCTACTAATACAGGCGCCGATTGGGCGGAATGGGCTACTACTAAGCCATGCGTGTAGCCTATAAAATCGGTTTTTATTGTATTATTCGAGTTGTACTGACTGATGAAAAAGACCAGAGTAGCAACATCGTGATTTCCCCCCAAGATACTCGTACCGGTACGGTACCTGGTACAGTCGCAAACAGTCCAGGAAATCTTTTGCTTCACCACTCACTGATGCACGTTTTCGCGCTCGAGTTTCGAAAAAGATTCGATTCATTCATTTTCACATTTTCATCACACAAAAACAACCAAGACCTCTGTGGCACAAAGACAGCAGCTATTACCACTACCATTGCTGATTTCAAACGATATATTCTAGTCCTGATAATACATGATGATGGGTAACAGTTTCAAACAAAGACTCTTTGGTGGCCTTCTTCTCTCTTGTTGTTTGGTCGTCGTCATTGCTTCCCACCAGCAGCAACACCCTACTAGAGATGATGATGTTTCCAGTCATGGGTATTTCTTTGCCAGGCGTGACGAACTTCCTGGCGCCAATTCGACGCACAAGCACTCGAGTGATTATACTGCAATTCCCAAAGAAACCAAGCCTGTCCTGGCTTCTGAGACCCTGGTGGCTCATTCTGCCGTCGATTGGCATCTATCAGATTTTTCCGGCGGACATTCCAACCAATCAATCCTTTCTGATTCTGGCCCCAACTGGCAATCTTCTGCAACTCCACAAGACGTAAAGGAAAACCAAAAACCCATTATCGAAGATGATGATCCCTGTGTAGCTTTTGGAGCCTCGGCTTCCACTCCCAGCGTCTCTGGAACAACAGGAGGGGAAAGAATTGGGGACGGAAAGGCTCCTGTTGCAATCCCGACTACTGCGGACTCCATCCAACCAGACAATGCCATGTATCAACATTTGAAGTCGCACCCAGGAGTGATCTTTATATTTCTAGGTTGGGGCATCCTATGGACCAAGTGTAAATTGTACCCCCAGCTTACATTGTTGAAGCATGCATCATTGCAACTGTACAAGCGCGGCCGCAAACGACGCCGCAATCGTCGTCATCGCAATCCTCAAAATCGTCCACGTCGTTACCCTCGCCAGTACTATTAGAGACGTTGTATTGAAGCATCATTCAAAGATTGACAAGACGGAACAAACTAACCGGTATCTGGCTGGATGATAATCTTGCTTCGTTTGACAGTAAGTGATGAGCGCAACAGCAATACTTACCACACTAATGCAATCGGTAGCAGATCTTGTTGCTATCCTCTTTTAGTGTAGATCACAGAAGTAAAAATCAATAAACACGATAAGCAAAGCTACAGAATTACAAAATATCTGCATGACACTACAACGATGTCCCTTCGCAGATATGCGAACAAAGTGGTGGAATCCACATCACCGCCTTTTTGTGGGTATGCTAACCTCTGATTGCCCATATTGGTACCTGTCGAGTTGGAGGATATTTATGTATTTAGTACATTGATAGGAATAATACCATGCTATAATATGTTTTGGATTGGATTTGGTGTCTTTGGGATTTCTGAATGAAATGCATGCATGCACATTCGAGAAGTGCTGCTTTGCCTTCTCAGCTGTTCTATTGTGCGTCATTCGACAACAGCAGTAGTCGGGTCCTCCTGTAATATAGACCGTAGCAAATGCAGCAAACAATAAAGTCGATCTAGTTAATCAAATACTTATTTGGCTTTAACATCTGTCACTCCTAGAGTATTGGAAACTGCAGAAAGATTCGTTTTCTGCTACCGTAGTTGACGACTTCAGACCGACTCACTCGCCTAGTCTTTTCGTTCCCGCGCCAACCAAAACACAACCACGTTAATCGTGGCGAGCAAAGTTGAAAGTGTTGTTTTTGTGCTTGATATAAATGCCTCCGCCAACATGAATTACTGGGTTTCCAAAAAGATCTTCCACGAATTCTGACTGAGCTATGAGCCTTCGTGTGTTCGGATTTTATCACGAATATGATACGTGTACGTCAAACGCCTGTTTTCTTGTCGTGGTTCAAACGCGCACAAACACTAAACCACGAGTGAAAACAGATGTTATATGCATCTTCATATCTTAAGATATTTTATATATACATGTAAGCGGTTCTTTTTTCATTCACTGCAAACTCAGAATTTTTTCTGATCGAGAAAACGAACAGTTCCCATTCTTCACAGAAACACAATCCTCACTCATAAATTTGCAAACGCAACATTGTTACAACTCATAAATCTCAACTACAACAAATCACAAAATAATCATGGATTTCTCTACCACCATCACCGCATTCTTGACCCTTGCTGCAACAAGCACCCCTAGCAGCAATGCCTTTCTTTCAAATATTGGTATCCAAGGGCAATGGAAGGAAAATCCACTAAGACAAACCCGTGTTGATACTTCGGATCTGATTGAAGAGGCCTTGGTTGCCTCCAAAAAGTATGGAGCAAGTTCTCCAGAAGCCCGTTTGGCATGGGAAACCGTTGAGGAGATCGATGCCAGCGACAATACTGCTGCCACCCTCGGGATGACATCCGAATCCCAAGCGGAGGCGGAAAGACTACTTGCCGACCTCCAACAACAACAGCCACACGCGGCCGCTTTGCACAACATGGCCGCAGATATCGAGGCCATCAAGCTTTCGGCACCCAAGAAAAATCCTTCTAATAAAGAAGGCAAAATCTATCAAGTGAACAACGCCAAGCTCCAGCAAGCCGTGAGTGACGCAAAGCGACTGACTGAATCATTCGGTGTCCATTCGTCCGAAGCAAAGGTCGCATGGGAAACCGTCGAAGAAATTGCCTCGAGTGGGCGCATCGAGAACGCCATGGGTGGCATGCTGACGCCAGAAGAGTGTTTGGTAGACGCACCCGTTGAAGCCTGTGAAGCCTTGGGAGAGCTGAATCGTGTCTTGGACGGACAAGAACAATCAAGCCGGTAAATCCGATCGGCCTTTATTTTAAACGCCAAGACAATAGTCAGGCATGAATTGAGGCAGCCAGGCATCATTATCGGTCAGCTTCCTTCATGTGATGGATGCATCTAGAAACTACTCAATATCCAGATGGATAAATTTGAAAAAAACATAGAATCAAGCAGATTTCACTTTAAAAAATAAGTAAATACAGTGCTGCTTTCCATTTCATCTGAAGCTGAGATCATACCAGGGAATGAGTCTATAAACCATAGCGACCAACTCCTTCTACCATATTGGCTTGCTCTTCCATTTCACCTTGGAAGGCTTCTCGCCAGGCATCAATCACATCATATTCAAAGACTAAATCACTCGAATCATCGGTCATAGCCCACCCATATTCCAACTTGACCCATTTTTCTTCCAAGGTATCTCGAAGCTCGTCATTGATGCAGAATCTTCCCTCTGGGTCGGCATCGCTTCCGAAACAGCGATCCAAGTCTTCCAGAATGACTATATCCACATTGGTGTACCAATCCATTGCCAGACCAGGAATGCCAGAAGGATCCAGTTTCAATACATCCATCTTTAGGAGTGCCATCAGCTCATCATATAGACCAGATGTTGAGGGATACAGCAAGTGGGCTGCCATCAAAAAGTAGTCAGCACTTTCTTGATTAACGTCAAAGCGAGGTAATGGCTTCTTCTTTTCCTCCACCTTTACGGCTGTGGATACATCGGACATGTTTACGTTCTTGGTTTGTGCAGGAGAGCCAAATATAGTGTTGGTTGCTGTTGAATCCGTGCTGTTGGTACTGGACAAAAGATTGCTTTCATTCTTTGAAACCACTTTCGGCACTAAAGTGCTAGGAGCAGTTGAAGTGGCTGTCGCCGCAGCGTTTGGCGAAGGCCCGATGTTTTCCTTTGCTGTAGCAATGCCTTTCGAATCAACCATCTTGACATCTTCGCTCGCTGCTTCCACAGGCGAAGTGCTAGCATTGGTGGTGTTTGCAAGATCTTTCGTTGAAGTGACCCCATTTGATGTGGTAGCAGCTGAAGGATCCACAATCATCAGTTTCGAACCCTCCATTGTTGTCGGCTTGGTGGTGTTCTTGTAAACATTCATTTCCGTTACCGCATCAGCCATATCGAAATCCGATCCATCTGCCTTGATCTTCGGATCAGCTGCGTTGCTAGCTTGTGGTGGATTTACGGTAGTACTTTGAGTGGTTCTCATCTCTTTTGTCAATGGTTTTGACAGTGCCATAGCTGCTTTCTTCTCGGCTTCTTTCTGCGCTGCGATGCGCTTCATAACATCGTCGAACTCTTTTCCAACAGACCCGTAAAATTCAGCGACAGTCGAACGCAAAAGGGTTAGATCGGCCGCCGATTGGACGTCGATTTCGCCAGCTTGAATCATTTCAAATGGAAGCGAATTTGGTGTACGTGGATTCTTGGCTTGTGATTCCCATTGACCTTGGGAGGAATGATGGCCGTGGAACAACTCCCATCGCCTGAAAAAGGATGGTGTGAGATTAAAACCAAGTCACCTATCGTCAAACAACAACATTGTGTACCTACCAGGCAAATTCCTCGTGCGATGGTTCGCGGTAGACGTGGCCCCAAGTTTTGCTAATGTATTGCAGCATTCGGAGCATGTATCGGAAGTTGATCATCTTCGGAACGGCAGCATTTTGCTTTTGCCTTTTGTTCTTCGGCCGCTTGCTGGAATGAGCCGTGCGCTTATCGCCAGAAACTGTTACCTCCTCCTCCTCGTCGTCGCTGTCACTGTCATCCTCGTCATAATGAACAAAGTTGGTGGGAAATTCTCTCTGCAACTCGAATACGGCAGACAGAATCATGGACGAAAGTGCAGTCGGAGCAAATACGGCCTTCTTGCATTGCTTCACTTGGACTTCTTCCATGTGTGCCACAAAGTTAGCTTCTTGTTCCTCCAACTCTGCGATTGCTTTCAATTTGACTAGGCGGTCCTTGAATCCCTTTTCAACTGTGTTCAAACCAGCATCCTTCTTCTTTGATACTTTCTTATCGGTTCGAAGCAAGCCCGATAAGACATTCGGGGGCACCAGACGGCAGATGTCCCGATACAGCAGACACTTTGGATCATGCAAGTACTCGTGATCCTCTCTCCCGCATCGACATCCACGGACAGGACGTGGCATCTGACGCAAGGAGCTCCGCTGTGCATCGGATGAAAACGTGACATCCTGGAATCCACCTTCGGCCTCTATTTTCTTTGTCCATTGCGCTTGGTGTTTCACTCGTAACTCGGATTCCATTCGCCGCGATTGTTCAATCCATTGCGTCTGAAGGGCAGGAATGCTTCGAGCTGGGAATTGATCTTCTTCGAATCCAAAGCTCTTCAAGGTGCCAATCTTTTGAAACATAGATATCATTGGTTCGAACGCTGGTAGTGTGGAAACATGCTGTCCAAGTAGCCTGGAAGGTTGATGAATCGCACGAATGATAGAATCGGCGATTGCTGCAAATTCATAGGCTTGAAAGGGTTGGTTGGAGTTTGCCAGCACCATGCCTTTTGGATCGTTGGAGGGCTTTTGTCCCTTTGGAATCTTGGATGACAGCTTTGATGTCAACTTGGGCGCCAACGGTTTCGGGGCAGGCTTGGGTCTGCGGGCCACTACCAGATTCGCGGAAATGAAGCCATTGGAGTTCTCTGATTTGCTCGCAAAGACGGCACAAGCTTGTGCAAATGTTTTGTTAGCAATTGACGTTCCTCCGATCGAAACTACAATGTCTCCAGTTTGCAAGAGCGTCGTGCCATACTCAGGTCCAGCTTTGTCGCGGTATCCATTCTGCTTCGTAGTGTCGACCACTAACATCACGGAGAAGTTCACGCGTCGTCGACGGCGTCTCGTTGATTTGGCGGTAGCAGCAGGAGATGACGACAACACTGCAATGGGAGTAGGTGCAGTAGTGACAGAACCACTTGCTTTTGGCACTGACCCATCACTTGTTGGTTTGACGTCACCAACAACACTGGGTCTATCGGATATCGCAGTTGGCTTTACTTGCTCAAGAACGACAGATGTAGTAGCCTCTGGGGTCGGTGGAGTAGTAGACGCAGAATGGGGCTGCTCTTTTTCTGTCAAATTTGTCGATCCTTCTGGATTGGTGGAAGATTTCTCGATCGCACTATCTGGCGTCGTTGAGTCTTTGGCCAACGGAGGACCGTTTGACAAATTGGTTGGTAGTGACGAATGACCCATTGTGCTCTCACCGCTACTCTGTCCTCCAGCTGTAATTTGTGGTTCTGGTTGCTTCTCTTCTTGAGTTGAAGATCCAGGCGGCAAAGATGGATTTTTAGCTTCAGCTGGCTTTGGACTTTTCGCCTTTGCCGCATTCTCAACCTGAACTTTATCGTCAGTATTGGAGCCATTTTTTGAAGCCTCTTCGCTGTTACCGCTGGACTCCTTTTGATCTGCTGCCGTAGACAAATTCACAGGAGTGGGAGGATTCTGGACACCTGAGATATTACTTCCATCATCAGTTTTGGCTGCTGCAATTGCTGGGACCAAGCTTGTCGTCTTGGTTGGAGCAGCAAGACCGAGATGCTTTCTAATTTGTTCGTCGTACCATTCTGGATCCACCAAGGTCGACTGTTGAAACAACTTCAAACTTACACCAAACGATTTTTCGTCCTCAGGTCGGACCAACTTAATTTCCAACAATTGGTAGTGTGCAAAGGGAGAAGGCCCCTTGGTGACCTCGCACAATCGTGCAATTTCAATGGGTTTGGGCCGTGGCTGTGCTTGGGGACGTGCTTGTCGCCAGGGTTTCCAAATGCGTTGCACACCTGTAGGTGGTACAGGCGGGTGTGGAAGCGGAGCAGGTGCCACAGGTGGACTAATTCCCATTGCTGCTGCTGGGTAGGAGGGACCGCTCGTGTAAGCAGGATGCATCTGCTGCATGAATTGTGGTGGCAACAAGTGTGGTGTCGTCACTTTTTGCAAAGGTGGTCGAACAAACGCACTCATGCGGCTTGGAAACTGAGGATTTCCCGCAACGATTGATGGTTGTGGAGGATGGACAGCTGCAACAGGTGCTGCCATGCTGCTACCATTGGTTGACTCATTCGCAACTGTAGGAGCTGCTGAAGAGTCTCGAGGAAGCTTATCCGCAGCTTGAATAGAAGGATTCGTACCAGTACCAACAAGTGGTTGTGGCGGATTCGAATTTCCAGTTGGAGTGGGATTTGCTGTAATCATTCCACTGGAAGGGGAAGGTGCGACAGGAAATGCCACTGAAAACTGAGGAACCATGTTGTTGGCCTGATAACAGGCATTCCAATTACCAGCGACTGGTTGTTGGGGCGCCATGAAATTGCCAACCATTGTTGGTCGAGCTACCATCATACCAGCTGCAGCCATCATACCTTGCTGTGGCATTGGATGCTGACGGAACATTCCCATCTGCGCCTGCATTAGCACTTGAGCTTGCATTCGAGTATACTGCACATACTGCGCTTGGTATTTCTGCTGTTCTTGGCGATGTTGCAATGCCTTTTGTTGATATTGGTGACACTGGAGCAGATATTTTTGGTAGGCTGTGCAGTTTTCAACATGCATTTCGTACTCCTTGAGTCTCTTCTCTTCCAGTCTCTTTTCACGTTCTTGCTGCTTACGGAGTCGCTCTGCTCCTCGTTCTTGCTGCTTCTTTATTCGCTCTTCTTCCTTCTGCTTGAGAATTTCCATCCTCTGTCGCTGCTTCTCATCCTTCATCTTCTGACGTTCTTCTTGCATTGCCTGCAGTTCCTTCATCTTGACTGCCCTCTCCTTCTCTTTTTGTCGACGACGTTCGTCGGCTTCTTTCTGCAAACTTGACAGCGTCTTTCGTCTCTTCAAAAGCGCAAGTTCTTGCTTCAATTGCTGCTTCAAGGAATTCTTCTTTTTCAGCATGCTGGGTTTGATAGGAGTTGTTCGTTTGGTAGGAGTCACCTTTGGCAGACCTCGTACTACCGGTGGCGATGTCGATGCAATAGGGTTTGCATTAACAACAGGAGTGATTCCAGAAGGTGTCTGCTGTGATGGAGTCTTTCTGATGTTGCTTCGATTTATGGGAGTCACCGGCTTCGTAGCTGACGACGGCCTTCCCTGAACCTTGACATTTGCCTTGTTTTGTGGATTCCACTGCTTTTTGACCGGTGCTGCTGCAGTTGATGGTACAGAAGAGCCAGTTGCAGGTCTATTAATAGGTTTATTCTTTCGATAGGGGTTTACGATAGGCTTGAATGTATTCGGCATGGTTGAATTGCATTGCGATGTTTTGGCAATGATTTCTGAAAACCTGCAAAGCCATGGTTGACGTACGCACTGATTCAGATTTTGGCGCGAAGTCTTTGTTCTAAATCGGTCCAAGACATACCGGTACTGTAATATATATAATACTGCATTGTAGGGTACCCCAAATGCATGATGACACCAAACAAAGTAGTGCTATTCGGAGATCTTGAGCTGGATGGCTAATCTTTCTTTTTCTTTGTTCAGCATTATTGTTCAATTGCGACGATCTGGTGCTGTTGAACGGACCAGTTCATCAGACAGCAGCGCAGGTGCATCACACCGACATTTCAGAGACGAGCGCAGTACTCCACCAGCCATTTGTTCTACCTAGATTCCCCTATGGATCTCACCAGGACCATGCGTTGTCTTTAAGCTTTTGAGGGTACAAAGCAGATCAAACAGGTTCAATTGTCAGGAATAAATGCTATACATTGAATAATCCTTGAATTGTCGTTACTGTAGATAGCCGCATTGAACAGCATTCATATTCAATCCGTGTTGTTTGCGACAGTTACAGGTGAAAGGAACTAATGTAGATGTGTTTGCAAAAGTAGCGCCATTATCAATTTCTGTCTTGTTCATTCGCGGAGTTGGGATTGATTGGCCATAAAGTGTCGTCTGCGACGTGTCGCAACTTCAGTCCGCTTAGATTTCAAATTTTATTCCTGGCAAAAACACACCATTTTGATTGCTAACAGCAAATTCAAATTGAAACAGCCTTCTCTTGTCCTTGTATTGAACCAAGGATCCCAAAGTGCTTCTTCGCTCTACAGCCACAAGATTTTGTCAGCATTCTGGTTGCCCAATCTTTTCTTACCAATCTTCTCGGCCATTCTTTCCTGCATTTCGAATTGTTCTTCGTTCCCATCGATAACTTCTTTTTCCATTCGAAATCATGGTTGTCCAAACTCGACGCAAGCGAAAGCACGTATCATACTACGAATCCGATTCTGACGATGATACTGCAGCCATGGAAGAACCCGATCACGCCATGGAAGTCATCCAAGCCAAATGGCGCGGCAAAGCTGGAAGCAAGAAAGCGAAACATCCAACCAAGGCTCCATTCGAAATGGTTCCTGACGAACTCTTGCCACAAATACTTTCTTACTTGGACAATGTGCGACAACTTTACCACTTGAGCAACATGAACAAGTCGCTTCGATACGCCATTTCTTCCGAGCTGGTCATTCGGGCTGCTGTATTTTCTGGAAATCCATATACGTGAGTTACACTTATTTTGCGAGCGACTGTGAATCGGACGTTGGCATCAACTTCTGGTCTTATTATAATTCTATTCTCGGTTTCTTTTTCTCTCTTTCCGACACCCTCTTTAGAGGTACTCTGGATGGATTGATGTGTGAACTCTCCAACCGAAAAATTCGAGTTCCTTCCACCCTTCGCATGCTCCGCCTCCTCAACGCGAAAGCGTGTGAACGTGGCAAGCAATGCTTTTGCTACAACCTCGAAAAAGAAGAAAGTGGCCCCTTGCCACATGTCACCAGGTCATTTGGACTGGCAATCTGCCATCCATGCATACAGGCACTTTCCTCTTGTTGGGGAACTGACTGTCCTTATCCGCTCCAAAGCACCAAACTCTGTACCCATGGCTGGTCTCGAGTCCTTTGCTATCCTCAAGTCGAGCAAGCTACGGGAGATGCCGTCGGTCCAATCATCCTCTTTCGTGACATTAAGCAAATTCAATACTCGTATTCCGACAACACAAAACGAGAGGCAGTTTTGGCATCGACCATTCAATCAGCAACTGCTCAAGCTATTGGCCCAGACGATGAAAAAAGACTCCAGCAATTCTGCGACTCTCACAAGGAAGCAAAGAGTCAATATCAGGACTATCTTGAGGCGAAGAAGAGAATGAAAAGGGAAATGGAAGAGGCAATTTTCGCCAAACGAGCTGCGCGAAAGCTGGAACTTGCGAGACCTGTATTTCAAAAACTCCAATCGCATTTTTCTGGGTTCCAATTCGAATCTATCGTGTTGAATCGCGATTGGGTTGTCAGTACTGGAGCCTGCGAATTCGACTACTGGCCCTCCAATTTCGCATTTCGACCTCTTGTGACAGCACCAAGTACAGCCACACAAAGAAAGATTACCGCCGCAGCTGCTACTGCCAAGGATATTTACACTCAACTTGAACAATACGGTTTTCTTGGGGACAGTTTTCCTCGTCGATTGCACCAATGGCTTAATACACAGGAAAACATTCCACTTCACAAGCAAGCCTTGGTTCGGTATTTCGCTGAGCACAAGACCTCAGAGCTCATGATTCGCTCAGGACGACGACTATACGAGGACCAAGCCGTAAGACTTGCATTGGCTGCCGGCGATCGCGCAAAAATGGTTCTCGAAAGACTTTCAGCACAGGATTGTCGCGAAGCATTCGCCCATGCAGTTGAAAGGGCAAACACAGTACCAAGGTCCTCAAGAAGTTCACGGCAAAAGAGATTCCAGCTTGCCAAACACATCTGGACACGGAATAATACCGGAGGGTATACCGGAAGAGATTTCTTGCGCGGCTTCTCTGAAGTGGAGAGATTTGGAGAGCAGTTTGATGAGTGCAAAATTGAGTACTCAATTTTGCTTCGAAAGATCCTTCGATACAAAAAGCACCCTGATACAAGAGCATGGATTGAAGATTTCCGCTCATCAGGCAATTTCAGCGAAGCTCTCCTGCCCAGAGTAAGTTCAAAACTATTGCATTGTTCTTGAGTACGCTGGTAGCTTACTGATTTGCTTCATCAATCCCGTTTCATCAGGATGCCATTGATACCCTCTACGAAGGCGACTTTGGTCCTTCCAGATCTAGTGGGACCTTTGAGGAATGGCGGCGATACCAAACCAGTCTCGTCCGAACCGCTTACCTCAAAAGCCTATATTGATGCCGTTCGGGTAGTGCACTTGAGATTAGAAATTTTTGACATCCGCTTCGTTTCTATTAATCAATTGGTGCATTTGTGGAAAGATCAGCATTAGGAGTAAGAGATTGTAGAAACCAAGTTTCTGCTGTACTTATGTTGTCGATCTTGAATTGAAGAATTGTTACTTGTAGGATATCTCATTCTTTGTCTTAAAGGTTCCAATAGTGATGATCATTTGGACACCTCTTGCTGCATCAAACAAGCTGCTTCGCGAAGAAAGTAGTGCACAGAAGAAGGATCATCTATGCAACTTGCAAGGGTCTCGACCAAGTGATGAGCTGGATACAAACCAGGTTTGCCGTTGGCACCACCAATAACAGATATCTTATAGCGAAGTCGATTTCTTTGCAAATAGAACTGGATGCGTTGGAGAATTTGAGCGCATACAAGGTATGCTTGTTTGGTCTCCGAGTTTGCATGTTTATCAACTGGAAGAATGAACAATGGTCCAAAGGAACATAACGAAGAATTTTGTTTCACTGCATCTTCTGTCAATTGGAGCACAGTCATGGAGTCCTTTACTTGTGCGTCGATGCATGTTGCAGAACTAGCACCTTTCGTGAGCACAAGCTTTCGCAGTCTCGTAGACTTCAGAAAAGGCAAAAGGCATTCAAGTAGTTCCGGCAGCGACTCAATGTTATGGGAGATATCCAGGGATTTCAACATTGAATTTTCACCCAAGCCTGTCAGAAGTGCAGATATGGATTTAGATGTCAACCCAGTTGCTGAGAGATTCATTTCTTCAAGTGCAACGAATTGGTGTGATAAAGATATGAATGAGAACACGAGATTTTCTTCATGTCTGATACCTCCTAACATATTCCTTGACAAATCAAGGGATTGCAAGTTTCGATCACCTGCCAAAAACTCCCAAATGCGTTGAATTCCAGTACCTGTCACCCCACAGCTCTTCAGTGCAAGGTGGCTGATGCAGTTTAGACTCGACAACGTTGCCAGGAACAAAGATAGCAACTCATCTTCATTGCTCACTAGGATTCCCCAGTGGTAGAACTCCAAGCATTGGAGATGTGATGCATGCTTCAGAGTCTCGATGACATCCATAAATTGCTTGTTTGTCATCGAAAAGTCAAAGCTCTGAGATTTCAGAGAACTATCATTGCTTTTCACTCGGTTCAAGAATTTCTCCGTTTCTCGATCACCTCTCTTCTGCTCATGTTCTAGAAAGTCATCCTCTTCATCAGCATCAAAGGGGTCGTAGAACAAAGTCATGCTAAAAGTTCGGAACAGCGATAAAGTTGGTACCGGTACAACAGTTTGAAGAAGGATATGAAGACATCAGAAAATTCTGATTTGACTCGTTTGACTGAATAATTCTTCCCTTTGAACTTTCTATTTCTCAGACATGGAATCTAATTTGGATTCTCTAGTCTTCAAAGTCTGGTGAGCCACCCTTGTTACAATTGTAGAATCAGCTCGAAGCATTACAGACAAGGATACCTAATACAATGGTAGGGTACACAAAGGATGACAGAATACGTATGACAAGATTCTATTATACTGTTTGTATAGAATCATTTCTTACCTTTTATTATCACATTCCGAGATAGTATAGTGGCTAGTATCCCCGCCTGTCACGCGGGAGACCGGGGTTCGATTCCCCGTCTCGGAGTATTTTTGCACAACTACTACCGGATGTTGTGTTACATGCATGCGGCCCATGCATCATGAGGCAAATTCTTGAATCCCAAGAGACGAATGTTGTAACCCTGAGTACAATTAGGAGGCGAATATTTCGTGACATCTATTTTATATGCTGGGTTGTTAGCTCCCTTCCAAAATTTTGCATCAAACATGACTTTGGGGGAGACTGGCTGCATTCCTTCAAAGACTACTACAGCAAACATCATTCAAGATTTGGACTAAAATTACTTCTGTTTTCATCACTTTAAAATATGTCTCTCACAGTGAAAACTTCGAATCGACCAGAACAGAATTTATAATTGATAATATCTGACCGAGCAAACAACGTCCACTTGGTCTAGGGGTATGATTCTTCCTTAGGGTGGAAGAGGTCCCGGGTTCGATTCCCGGAGTGGACCTTTTGCTTTTGGCATCATTGCCCCATGTACACCGCAACTGTTGCTGTATGATACCACTATTATTCGCTATTGTCACCCCTGGAACTGTATTTTTATTGTACTGAAGACCATGCAATATCCTCAAGCCATAGAATATCCTCCCCGTATCCAACATGATGAAATTGATGAAGATGGTGTCACGCTGGAAATGAAGGAAACTTGGGTTCTCCTGTGTCGTCTGTTGTATCGCATGAAGTACCAGGAAGACATTCCAACAGAGGCTACAGGGCAGTCCTGGCATGCTTTGATAGCGAGGGCTCAGTTGGCGCAAGACATGTGGAAATCGCTGAGCCATGAGGTGGCTTCTAGAGACTTTGCAGTATATCAAAAAATGTCCAACAAGGTCGATAGTTTATGTCGGAGGGCCCATCGCTTGGCGGAAGAGCGCCGAGCACATGCTCCACCGGACCTTATTGATGAAATATTTTTCTCCAATGATAGCAATGATAGTGATAGCGATAGTGACGATAGTAAGGAAGGCATGCAGGAAGAACAGCATACTGTCAAAAGTGCTTATGCTTCAGATGAATCAAAAGACGAAGAAAATGAAAGCAATGATCGTAGGAATAAAATGGCAACACCAACGCGGAACGACGCAAAGAATACAACTCCAATGACAAACGAAGCGTTGCAAAAGGCTCAGCGGGAGCAAATGGAAGAAGCCATTGCTCAAATGGCACGTCATATGAAGGAAGCGACCATGGGAATTTCCAATACGTTGCAGCAGCAAAACCAAAGCACCCTAAACGAACTGGAAACCGTTGCCGAGCAAAATGCTCAAGACATGTCAAAGGTGACAACAGATGTCACGGATCATAATCGAAGGCAATGGAGAAAGAATTTTTCGACTTGGTCTATGATGTTTTTATTGGTTGGCATTTTTGTCTTCACAATGCTCATGATTTTCACATTGCCGAAGCATCCAACGGGGTCTCTATTGGGAAAAAGAGGAATGATCCGAACAAGCGTTTCTTGGGCATCCACAAAATCCTTGCGCGTAGTACAGTGGGCCACAGATAAGAGTGGTATAATGAATGTTTTGGAAGGTGATGAATTACCTTCTTCAGGTGAACGTGTGCCTGAAGATCTGTTTGAAGAAAGCGAGGCAGAACGTCGCCAAAAGGAAAAACTGGATCAAATCATCGCAAGTCGGAAAGCTCGAGATTTCCACGACAACTTTGGTGATGATTATCCTGATCACGAAGCAGAACAAGGCGGCAAGCCAAAGCAAAAGTCAACAAAGACAAATAAAAACACAAATGCCGGTAGTGATGGATACATGGAAAGCAAAATTACTGCTAGTGGTGACATAGAAAATGACGTAAAACAAGATGAGGGGCCAGCAGATGTAGACATGGACGAATTAATTGCTTCATTGAATCGTCAGGCACAAAAAGCTCTGGAAGAGCAAAAGGCAGCGCAAAAGAAAGCAGAGGAAGCTGCCCGTAAAGCAAAAGAGGAAGAGGAAGCACGAGTTCGAGCCGAGGAAGCTGCGCTCCTCGCTAGGAAAGAACGAGAACGAAAGGAACGACAAGAAGCGGTTCGAATAGCGAGGGAAGAAGTCGCCCGCAAAGAAAGGGAGGAAGAGGAGGCTAGAATCCGAGCTGCGCAAGAAGAAGTAAAGCTCAGAGCTCAACAAGAGGAGGAATTGAGGTTTGCAAGAGAAGAAGAGGAGGCAAAGCTCCGAGCCAAAGAAGAAGCAGAGCGCAAAGCTAGACAAGAACGAGAAGAGGAATTGAGACGAGCGAGGGAAGCAGAAGAAGTTGCAGAAGCTGAGCGACTAGCTCAGATGGAGCGGGAAGAAGCATTGCAAAAGGCAAGAGAAGAAGAAGCCCGCAAAGCAAGAGAGGCGGAAGATGCAAGAATCCGGGCCGAAGAAGAGCGTCGAGTTCAGCTACAACGCGAGGAAGAATTGAGACGAGCCTGGGAAGAAGAAGAGGCTCGAGCCCAAAGGGAAGCCGAGGAGGCCGCGAATGCACAAGCCGAACGTTTTGCTCAGATGGAAAAGGAACGCATTGCTCGAGAAGAAGCCCTGAGAAAATCGAAGGAAGAAGAGGTCAGAAAAAGGACCGAGGAGGCAGCCAATGCACAGGCCGATAGGTTTGCTCAAATAGAGCGAGAACAAATGAAACGGGAGGAAGCATTCCAAAAGGCCCGTGAAGCAAGAGAACAAGAGGAAGCTCGGGTGCGAGCCGAAGAAGCAGCTGCAGCGGAGGCTGAACGATTTTTGCAAGAGAAGCAACGCATAGAGCGAGAAGAAGCTTTGAAAATTGCTAGACAAGAAGCCGAGCGTCGCGCTCGTGAAGAAGAACGGGAACGATTAGAGCGAGAGGCTGCCTGGAGACAAGCCAGAGGCGAGGCTTCTCGACAAGAAGAACGTGCTCAACAGAATCCACACAAAAGTGATGAACATTTAGAAGATCGACTTCAGCAGATTCATGAAAACACGGACCATAATCGGGTTGAGCAAGAAAAGCGAGCACGAATGGAAGATGCAAAGAGACACGACGAAGATATTGATATGGAAGAATACGTTGAAAGGGGTCGCGAAAAACTCGATGAGTATTTGGGCCGTGAGGAGCGGCACGATGAACTGTAGTATTCTATTACCTAGGATTTTTAAAATATAAGACAAGAGGAACTTTTACTATCTTGAATGAAATTTAAAGGATTCCTATTCTATTATAACATACTTCATGGAAGAATATACTGAAATGACAAGAAACGACTCTGTTTTGGCGTATTGAGGTGAGATTATATCCAGCATCATACTCTTCTTAGAACGAATGCTTAGCAGCGCGTGGTCGCCGGGCAAGAAGCTTTAGCTTGGTGTCCCACTCAAAGCCCTCCACTCGTTGTCCAGCCAACAGTTTGCGGGTGGTATGGCACTTGATGGCCATGGTATTTGCTAGCAGTGATTTGGGGTGCAGGACCTTGGTGGCATCCTTACGCCAAACGACCCATCGACCACATCTTGTGTTTGGCGAAGCTCCTTCCATGGCCTCGAGGTAGGTGCACTGCATACAGCAAGGAGGTTGAATGAATCCAAGGCGAGCAAAAAAGCAAGTTTCAACAAACAAATCTGCCACTTGACTCTCTGACAGCACAGTGGATAAAATGCGAGGACTGACAATGTTGTCGATCTGCGTCATGGAATTGGAGCTATACGAAGCATCCGAAGCAACAGAAGAAGCTGCTCCACCAGGAGTCGGGACAAATCGGTTGGTCTGTGGAAACAATCCACCCATTCCGGTCTTGTTGGCCGAACGTCCAGTCATTTTCTCTTCAATCTGGTCCAGTTGCTTTTCCAAAGTCCGAAGTGCGTTGCTGTTTTGGGATCCGGAAGCAGTATTCAAAAGTGCCTTGTATTGGCGAGATTCTTGTTGGCTCAACCATCCCTTGGCTTGAAAGCTGGCCAATCGTTCTTTCAAAGCTTCGACCGACATTTGTTGCACGTTTTCTGGATCGTTCATCGAAAATACTTCCTTCAAAAAGTCCGTATCGGGCGCACAACCTTCGGGGACCACTGATTTGAGCATATTCATGGGCGCCTCAGCAAAGCTGGCAGACCCAAAGTTTTCCACGGAGACATTGGAAAGCGTCTCTCTGGATGCCTTGAGAAATTGTTGGTAATCAAGCATGGTGATGATTGATAGCGGTTTGTATTGGTGATGGGACAAAACAACGAAAAAGTGGCTGTACCAGAAAAGTGAGTGGCCGTTTGTCATTTTATACAAGATCCTCGTTTCTGCAGATAATGTGTATGCTATGCAGACATGTTATACACACGCGCGAATCGATCACGAGTCAGATTGGTTGATTCATTCGACCACGAAGCAGAATTCAAATCAAACTTCCCATCAAGAAAGATTTCGATCGAAGAATTTGGATACGAGTTCAACTGCTCGAATCAGTTTGGATACTACGTTGCTCCCGAATTCAGACAAACATATCAGCAGATACAGCCACCAGAACGATCGATTATAGGGATTCGTTGCTCAGGAATTCAGACAAACGCATAACATAATACCAGCAGGTACAGCCAGCAGTATGATAAACCATGAGAATTCTATGCTCAAGAATTCAGACAAGCGTATACTAACAGTATCTGGTAGGGCAAAGATATGATAAGCAAAAGAAATAGAAAAATGTATGATACCAACGTTGATATACTATGAATAGATGATTGTATGTGTTTCGAAAAAGACTATATCGTATTAGCTAAAATTGTGCATCATTCGTGCATAAACTGATCTTCAGGTTTCTGGGAGTTTGTAGAGTGTGTTTTGTGTAATAGAGGAAGCATCTCGTGCTAATCTTCTCTCGTGCTCTCGTCCTCTCGTGAATATAGAGGAATACTCTCTTGTATGTGTTTTTGTCCTGGTGTTCTTTTGTGTGTGCGTCCTATCCTATCCTATCCTGTCTGTTCAGGTCTGAATTCAGTACAGACCGCTGACAATATCAACAAGTTGCGTGAGGGTTTCGGTGTCCATCAAATTTTGTTGATCAAAAAGTGCAGTGGCAGTGTCGACAGCCTGAAGGATATCTTCTGGTGTTGGAAGAGACTCGGGATCAACGGCATCAACAGCGGCAACGGTAGCAACAGTAGCTCCAGTAAAGGTAAAGTGGTGACCGGAAGTGGACTTGGAGACCAAGTCTTGGACATGTTGTCCCATGCCTTGAAGTTGGTTCTCCAACTTGTTCAGCAACTCTTGTCCAAAATTCAGAGAAAAGTCGCCGGTGGCAACAGAAGCGGCAGTGTCCACAGCAGTTTGCTGCATGTTGGGAAGGGCATCTGCAAGTGTTTGCATGATTTGATCCTTACGTTCCATTTGGTCCGCTCGGATGACTTCCAAGAAGGCCAGAAGTTTGACATTCTTGGAAGAGACTTGACTCATGACTTTTTCGAGTCGCTTCACGTCCTTTTGTTCTTGGACGAGCAACTCTTGTAACAGTTCTGTAGTCTTCATGGACTTGTCAATGGGAGTCTTGTCCACTTGAGAAGCATAGTCCATGATTTCAATGTCATGAGCTCGGGCATATTCCATGAGTTCCATGGCGCGAACTCGTTGTTGCTCCTCGACGTCATAAAATTCTTCGGATAGGTCCTTGACAGCAGAGGCAGCCAATAGATACCTTCTGCCGGCAGTGAACTCTCTTGCCACTTGTTCGGTAAGCAATTGAGAAATTGAGACTTGAGGTTCTTCGCGTTGGTAAGTGTTTAGGATGGAATTCCTGAAGCTGTCAGTTTCAGTGACTGTGCTGTCAATGGTTTGAGCATTAACATAATTCAATGATGTGGTGGAAGAAGAAGGAGAAGTGCCGACGGTAGAAGCCGACGGCCTTGGTAATGATGATGAGGCACCATTCATGTTTACAGCTTGAAATCCAACAGCTTGCTGACACAAGAAGTTGGCCACAAAGAGGTAGAAAGGAATTCTGGAGATCATTGTTGGATATAGACTTGAAAGAATTGGTATGAAAAATGGAATGCTTTTGCAAAGGTGAAAATTGAAAATTGTGAGACTGGAATCTAGAAATCGGAATCCATTCGTTCAGAAGGCGATGGAATTTCGAGAACGGAATTTGGGGAAAAAGAGGCGCAGCAGAATTCTGCTCATGGCCATCTGCCAAGTCATAAAATCTGAGTGATCTGATTGGATAGCGGACCGTTCAGAACTTTGTGTAACGGAAGGGCGAATTGTGCAGTTCAAACACGTCAGTGGGACCCCTTTTTCGAACGAAAAAAAAAGTATCTTTCAATCAATATATCTCTGAACCCTTCTCATTCTGACTCGTGCACCTTCTCATATCTGACTGACTCACTTGTTTTGTACTAAATTCAGCCAAGCGGCAATGGGACCTCGCTGTCCATCGTCGTCAAAACAAGAAAAAGTTAGGTGCAGCTATTCATGGGCACTCTAGTTTCTTTCGTGTGTCATTGAAGTGAAAGGAGCGCGGCATTGGGTTAGTTGGATACCTGTAACGACCTCTTGAAGCACACGACCGCTACGACGGCTGTAAAAGTGCTGGTTTGGGCAAGGTTTGGGTGGGACCCAAGAAGTCGTAAGGCAAGCAATTCTTGCCACAATCGGCTGGCGTTGCTCCTGCTGTTGTGCGGAAGGCCCTTGCATCATCTGGCTTCTTTCGTTGTCAGGGTTTTCTACTACACGACAGCTTGTGACCAAGACCATTCATTCATTGCCTGGCAAAAGTCCGTCCACAACACGAGAATTGCATGGCATTGGCGTCGCAAGAAGAGAAGACGGAATCAAAGGTTGAATTTAGCTTTATTGATATGTATCGGACACGGCAAGAGCCTCGATTGATTCAAGTTCGATTTGGGCTTCAAGTAATCATACAACAATCAGCCTACAGTATGTTCTCGGTGGTATTTGGTCAAACTGTTCTGTTCTCGGTCGTAGTTGTTGGTCAAACTGTTTCTGTTCTTTGATTCCTTAGGGTCCACAGACAAAGCACCGCATCCCACATGCATCTATAGAGGTCGACTTTCGAAATATGTTATTCTTTTTCGATATGTACATGATGATGCTGGAGCGTTTGTTCATGGAAGTATCCATTTATTTGCTTGGGTTGCAAAAAGAGAGGGTGATTTTGGGATTTTCCTCTTGGGCGCTGTCGGTCAACAAGTCCCATTGGCCGCCATATACGCCGAAAACCATGTAACAACACACCAGTAAGTCTCTCGTATAGAATTGGTCTAAACAGTCAGAGCGGTATGCGAATTATCGATACTGAATAATAAAATGATTCATTCATTCGACCTAGTTCTGAACCGCGAGTTCTGAACCGCGATGGAATTGTGAAGTACTGTAGTTTGTAGAGATCCCACTCAAAACAATGTTGACTCTATTGGTGGATGAGACAGCGGCAGGCTTTTGTGGTGTTCAGCCACAAGCAACGACATAGAGGTACCAAGGGTTCAGTGCGATCGATTGGTTTGAAACACATTGTACAGCTAGTCTCCCCCTCCCCTACCCAGTGATCCCACTCGGAAAAAGGGCAACTCTGTTAGTGGATCAGACGGCGGCAGGCTTTAGTGTACCGCACTACTACACAATTCTGGCGGCAGGCTTTTAGTGTACCGGTAGGGTACCACAATACCCAACTCTGGGATCACTAGCAAAAAGCTATCGTATTTGGTAGGTACAGTAGTGTCTAGTAGAGATCCCACTCAAAAAAAAAGACAACTCTGTTAGTGCATCAGACGGCGGCAGGCTTTTAGTGTAGGTACCACAATATGTAATACTACTGTAAACAAACAGTAATGCGCCGTCGTAGTAACCGACTAACGACTGCTTTGATCCCACACCACTCTCAGACAGCGGCGGCAGGCTTTTAGTGTAGCACGATACACAATTCTAGGATCACTATTGTATCGTATTATACGAGTGAGCGCTAACGAACGACTGTTGTGAAACACATTCAACATTAGATCCCAGTCGGGACAACTCTGTTGGTGGGTCAGACGGCGCCAGGCTTTTAGTGCAGTACGATACACAATTCTAAAGTTGGAAGCGGTGGAGTACGATTTCTGTGGCTATTTGCCATGGAGATCCCACTCGAAAAAAGTCAACTCTGTTAGTGGATCAGACAGCGGCAGACTGCTGTGTACCACACTACACAATTCTCGGTCACAAGCAAGAGAGTACGATAGCTTTGTAAACCTTGTGGCGCACCATGTTGAATGCTGTTGGTGAGTTCCCACTAACAAAATCATCACTATGTTAGTGTATCAGACGGCGGAAACCGTTGCTGTACCACAGAACACAATTGTCCTTTCATAGCCAAGGATCAACGATTCATATACAATATTACTAGGCTCACTAGGAGCAAGGATCAGTCCTGTAGTACTACCACCACTAGCGGACGATGCCTGCCTCCTGTTGTTGACCCCCTCCCCTTTCTCCTTCCCTATACTTCAGTTGACTCAGCACTTTTTTGAATTTCCTTCCATTGGATCCCTCCTATACCAAAGACCGCAATTCAAAGCATACATATCTCTAATATGGATAAATCAAACGATGCTTTTTCCTCTAGAGAAGGAGGGTACGAAATGTGGCTCCTTGGTTCTATTCGCGTTACGAGAGTCGTACGAGTCAAAGCCAGCTGCAATTACCACTTTTGGGATAAATCGTGAGTCATTTTAGTACCTGGCTGAGGTACCAGTACCGGTAGCTGTATCTGGTTCTCGTCTTTTTGAAGCACTTGTGGGAAGACTAGCGAAATACATTGTGGTTGGTGAAGTAAGAGAAGAATAGATTTTATACCGTAGTACTAATATTATAATAAGTGTACATCATTTAGTCATGCAAAAATTGTGCGTCAGGTTGCCTGTCGAATAATAGTATGTTTTTAATACACACCACTGACAATATCGACAAGTTGACTCAGGGCTTCCGTATCCATGGCTTGAAGAAAGTTTTCAGGATTTGGAAGCGACTCGGGATCAACGACATCGACTGCGGCAACTGTAGCGGCAGTGGCTCCAGTAAAGGTAAAGTGACCAGAGGACTTGGAAATCAGATCGTGGATGTGCTGTCCCATACCTTGAAGTTGATTATCAGACCAACGAGAGACAGAGGATGGAATTTGATCTGCGTTGTCCAACTTGTTCAGCAAATCTTGTCCAAAGTCTCCAGTGGAGGCTTGAGCAGTAGTAGTGACAGAAGCAGTGTCCGCAGCAGATTGCTGAATTGTTGGGAAGGCATCTGCAAGTGTTTGCATAATTTGATCCTTACGTTCCATTTGGTCCGCTCGGATGACTTCCAAGAAGGCAAAGAGCTTGGCATTCTTGGAGGAGACTTGGGCCATGACTTGTTCGAGTAGCTTGACGTCCTTCTGCTCTTGAATGAGCAACTCTTGTAACAGTTCTTGCTTCTTCAAGGACTTGTCAATGGGGGTCTTGTCAACTTGAGAAGCATAGTCGAGGAGTTCAATGTCATTTGTGCGAGCGTATTCCATGAGTTCCATAGCGCGAACGCGTTGTTGCTCTTCGACATCGTAGAAATCTTCTGATAGGTCCTTGACAGCAGAGGCAGCTAATAGATACCTTCTGCCGGCAGTGAACTCTCTTGCCACTTGTTCGGTAAGCAGTTGAGAAATTGAGACTTGAGATTCCTCGCGTTGGAAAGCATCGAGGATGGAATTCGTGAAGCTGTCACTTCCAGTGACAGTGTTGTCCACGGTTTGAGCATTCGCATAATTCAGTTGTGATGTCGAAGTGCGGGTGGTAGGCGTTGATGCTCCTGATGATGTTGGTGATGAGACCCCCCCATTTGTGTTCACAACTTGGAAGGCAGTAGCTTGCTTGCTCAAGAAGATGGCGACAAAGAGGTAGTATGGAATTCTGGAAATCATTGTTGGATGAAGGCTTGAAATAAGATTGAACGAGAGAAGTTTTTTTTGCTTTTCTTGAAATTATGAGATCGAAAATCATGAAAACAGGCAGGGTATCTCAAATTGGAATCCTTTCGATGGAATTTCGCGAAGGGAATTTGAGCAAACTACGGCGCTCAAGAATTCTGCTCGGTGAGCCCGTCGTCAGTTCGCCAAATAAAGCAATCTGATTGGCTACAGAATTTTTCAAAACAGGACGTCAGTGTACCCCTGCTCATTCAAGGGTGGTAGGTCCTGGTACAAGTTCGACTGACTGCTAATGTTCCTTCCGATCAGAAGAAGTGGGAACTAACTTCCGAGGGCTGAGCGTTATTCGGTGTCAGAATTGTAATCTTTGGCATGAAGTAGTGTGTGTGTACGAGCAATACACGACCTCTCGAGCGATAATTCGAAGACAAGCGCTATTTTGCCGAAACAACGGACGAACCAACCGACCTCGCGAGCTTTTACGAGGTCTTTACTAAAGACTACTTGGACTTTTTAGACGGGGCAAAGACAAACCGTCGTGTTTCACGACCTCGTGAGCTGCCGCGAGCTCTGCATTTTCACCGAGCGGTACTGGAAAAGGCAAAAAGTTGTTTGAATCAAGTGATTCGCGACCTCGTGGGCTGCTGCGAGTTTTCCACGGTTGCAGTGGGACCTCGCAGTGGGACCTCGCAGTTGCACTAACGACCTCCAAGAATGAACGAAGAAACATCATTGAAACTCCATCGAACAATGAAGTTTTTTCTTTCGTATCAAACCATTCCATGAGTGATCCCGAACAATGGATTCATTTCTGATCGGAAACAGTGCATAGAGAATAGTGAGAAGTAGCTCGCCAAAACAGGACTCCGATGCTCATCTTGAGTAGAAACGAGAAAGTAGTGAATCAGCAGGTCCGTCGCTAATCTTGCAGTTCGTTTATGTGAGGAAGAAAAAGAAACCTGAGAATTATCATGTAACTTCTTTCTTTAATCTTCGCGTGCATGGTGCATCGACAGTGTATCCTTGTGTAGAAAACCGAAAAGTACTGAAAAATTCCCTGTTACCATCGTTGCTGAGGTGTAGTAGGACAAAACAATCAATCTTTTGTTACCACTCGTGCCATTGCCGTCGAACGTTGTAGGACTATTAGATAGGTGATCGAACTTCAGTGTGTGTGTGTGTGTGTAGGTTATTTGGCTGGTAGAGGGGATTTATTGTTGGCTACCATGATGATGATGATCTTGCTCAGCTGAGAAGCAGCTACTACTAGTAGTAGTGGCACCAACAGTGAGACTGAATTGGCTAGCACGTTGCAGGATGTATGTAAAACAAGGTTTCAGCTGGAATTGTGAGGAGAGATTTGTCTATTGCTCAAAAGCTGACGTAAACATAGATGTCAATATAGGTGTCAATGGGTGACAACATTGGTGTCATGACGTGTTTTTTTAGAGTAATGAAAAGAGAGTCTCATCCGATCGGATGGGTCATGTGGGACTCATCGAATCGTGACGTGATCGATTCAATAGACGCAAGAAGCAAACACCAATATACCAGGCACCGATACATTTTGCCTCAAAAAATACAACCGCCTTACTGTTACAAGTGTCACCGAAGCGAACCAGATCACAAAAGGTATCAAACTTTGCTGCAGCAGACTACTAATTAATTATTTTCACAAGTGATGATGGCGTCGTCTGGCTGGTGTGGAGTGGTGCTGGGGGCTGGTGTCGACAATAAGACGTCGTCTTTTCCAAAGTATGGAAGGAGCATGCAGAGAGTTCCACCGACGGTATTCGGCTAGTGTTCTATTAGGTAGTGAGTACTGGCGGAAATGCTAGCCAAGTTTGAGATTAAATACATAATACTGCTGAATTTTGTCATAACATGAAGTGTAATAGTTGTTTTCTCTAGCAAATGCATAAGCATCCCCCATTTGGTTGACCTATGTGTACGGATGCATCAAAAGTATCTATTTTAGGCATGGATGTTTAGGCTTCCATGCCATTGCTTGCGACTCCCAGCATGGGACCAAACTTGGTCATGAGAATTTCCTGGACTAGCTCTCGGATTTCTTCGCTTTGAACTGTTATCAGACGGCATACCATTGGAAAGAAGGCTGCCTTTTGACTTTCGAAATGATCTTTATCGAACGCGATCATGGCTTTCAGCAAACAGACAATGGTCGACGAAAATGTGGTGCAGTAGACTGCCACTTTGATGCCTCCTGAAATTCGATGTCCTTCGGTAGCCTCAGACTCAGCAAACTTGTGAAAGACATCTTGCATGATATCAAGCAGATACGGGATGGCAAACGAGTCGGAACTGCCGCTCGCTTCGCCCTCGTACAAAGCACTGAGCACCTGAATCATCACGTTGGTTGCACCAGCTGTTTGCATCATGAAGAACATGGCACTACCTTGCGTTTGTGCCAGTCGTGCCACATTCATCAAAGCTTCTTCTCTATCTTCTTCGTCCATTCCCCACTCGCTAAGAATTGCCTCCTGGAATGCCAGTGCGATGTCTTCATTTTTGGCTGCAGCTTCTGCCAATTCGCGAGATCGATTGAGCGCATCCAGTAGATCCTTTGCAACTGGAGGAGGGACAGGTGCATTCTCATTCAACGACTGCAAAGCCTCTTGCAGGAAGTGTGCGGCGATGCACCGAATCTTGAGTGATGGGACAAGACTGGCCCATGTTGAAGATTCGAAAGACTTCGCTGCGGCGATATCTTGGTCATTATCCGCAACCCTCTTGAACACCTTTGCTTTCTCCTGGATAATTTCATCCTGAAGTGCAACCTCGATATCCAGACATCGACTCAGCGTCTCCTGGAAAAATTGAACGATGGCAACCCCCCATGCTGATTTATCATCAGAATCAAGCCCATCCAATTTGGCCGAAACACGGTTTGCGAATCTATTGGTTTCTCTACATGCAACCCGTACGAGAGCTTCACAGGGTTGCCAAGAATCAGAACCGTTGCACCATGTTTGAATCATGTCAGCAACGTCAGGCCACAATTTCGAGGCGCCTTCTTTACCCTTTGGTACAATGACCTCGCTAGCCACATCTGTCAGAGTGCCAAGAGCAACGGCAGCAGTTGTTGCTATCCAGCTATCAGGAAAGGGCTGCTCTCCGTCAGCATTGCCTCTCATTTCCTGTTGAATTACAAAAATTAGCGAAGGCTACAGTGACTTCTGGCAAACAATTATTCCTTACCTTGTTCGCAAACTTGTAGACTTGACTTAGATCCCCATCTCCACCATGACGCATGTCAGTAAAACACGCTTCTAGTAATAATTCTGAAGGACCCAATGGGCGTTTTGGAGCACTGGTGAAGAAAAAGTTAGAACCAAGAAAAGAAAAATGTCCATCATACCCAGGAGCAACTTACGCGTCCATACGTCGAGCCGCTTCTTCAAATTTGAGGAGGCCATCGTCATCATCTGGAGGCGGCAGGGGCATCGGCGCACTCATGAAATCCAGGTTCGACATGGCAGGTGATTCTGATGTGATCGAGACCACAGGAGAGATGTCATTCTCTGCTGCTTCTTTGAATGCAGGAGTTATCGTATCTCTTAATATCGCAGATAATTGGTTTACTGAAAACAGTGAACCGTGTCTCAAAAGGATTGCGCGGATTGCGAGCACACTACCGCGTTGCAGGAGGCACCCAACCCCTCCCGCACGGCTCGTGGCAGTGGATTTTGCAGCCGAAGCGAGACCGTCAAGAATTGGTCTCCAGAGGACCATTTCAAGGGCTTCTTTTTCATCCAAGCCATCGTATGTAAACCCATGAGCATTTGGATCCTCCGCTTGAGCACCAGATACTGGTGGAAGAATTTGAGCCTCGGCGATAAGGTCGGCATAAATTGCGGAGTGGCAAAGGGCTCTCATTGAAATGCCAATAGGATATCTCATCTGGGGCCCATCCTGTTGTACAAATGCAAGTGAAGCCCGGCACATTCGAACAAAGTCCTCCGCTGTAGCATTGCGGTTTCTCGCTTCTGATGATGACAGGGCTCCCTTGCCTTCTTTCTCGTCACCTTCCGTCTTTGAAGCAGGCAATCTGCACAATTGGCTGAGGTGATCATCAAGAAGGCGTTGCAAGATATTGATTGAGAGAACCATTATTCTTTCGTTGGAGTCTCGCGATGCGACCATCACGATATCAAAGAACACCTTCCAACCACTTTGCAAATTGTGAGCCTTGGTGCTAACCATTTGGTCGATGCATTGTAGAACCATCTCCCGGTTTGAATCTGGAGTCTCAGGGTTTTGTATTATTAACAGAAATGGCTTTAGGAATGTGCGTTGGAACTTTGTTTCCGCAAGCTCGGGTTTCTCCAAGAATTTCGAGCTCATTTGTTTCAAAGAATCGATGGCAAAAACGCTAACCATTTGATTTCTGTGACAACCAATCTCTGCAAAGAAATCAGCCATAATTTCCCATACTTGTGTCCAAATGACACGTGGACGCGAGTCCATGTTGAAGTCGGCCACGTCCACCAGGCGCTGCAGTGAAAATATACTTGGACCATCGTCACCATGCTGCGATCCTTCACCAGTTTGTTTCATTCCAGTGATGCTGCGCGTTGTGTCTCCCTCAAGCTCTGTCTTTGAAACCGCAACAAGTTGCTCAATGAAATGCCCCAAACTTAATGCAGACAATTTGACAGTCGATGAAAAGACATTGTCGATGAGCTGCTCACTAAAGGTCTCAAGAATCGCACGTTCGTTCATTTCCGCCATTTCCTTGCTTTGCAAAGCCTTGACCTCCTTTTGGTTTTTGAAAAACATGTTCGACTGCCTCTTGGGAACCGGTGCTTTGCTTTCTTGCTTGAGAAAAGATTCATCCGAGTCTAGTCCCGACGCTGACATTCGCATTCTCGCTAGTTGCGATATACATTGCAGGACTGGAGCCCAGCTCTCCCCCAAGTATTCACCATCTGCAATTGCCATTGTCATTAACGTTCGAATTGCTTCAATATTCTTGTATTTCATTTCTTTAATCGATCCCAGTAGAGTGAACTTGGCGAGCGAGTTGACAAAGGTATCTCGAGCCAAAGACATATTGCTGTGTGAAGCAACTCTCACAGCATAGACGAAACCATTCAAACACACAGCAATGATTCTTTCTTCTGTCGAAAACTCCAACACTTGAGATAACATACCAATGATGGGACCCCAAGTGACATCCATCATGGGTTTCACAACATCCGAAGGGGCAACCGAGTCGACATTGCTCTTTTCTGCAGTGGTGGTCTTGCCTCTTCGTCGACGGATTAGTTGCTCGGTTGCTGACATCATTTCTTCTCTTTCACTCTTGAACTTTTTCTTCTTTCTCTCTTCTGCCGACATTCCAAAGATATTCGCATCGGAGAAGAAACTGGTTTCCATTACCTCCGCCGCAGCCTTTTCTCTCGCGGCGTCATCTTCCTTGAGAGAAAACGGGCTCTTCTTGATACGCTCAAAAATACCAGCCAAGAAATCTGCAGGCAAGTCGGCCCCGTTTTCTCCAATGCCCCTATTGTTCCGTTGGAATCCATCCAAAGTCATCCTTCTCTCGGGCTTGATGGAAGGGTTGTGCAAATCAGTATTCAACATGATGACTGAGAATGCCAAAATGAACGCTGTATCGGCATTGTGGAAAACCTCGGGATTTTGAATCGTGAATCGTTCGGCAAACTTTTCCATGATGCGGTCAATCTTTTGAGCTTCTCCTGGCAAACGAAATCCACTCAGAAACAATCGAATGGCATCATCAAAGGGAAGATCTTCAAAGTCTAGGGAATGAATGTAATGGTGCAGTACTCTGAGGAAGAATCCAGGGCCTCCCTTTTCAGGGTCTGTATTGGGTGTTTTGACAAAGGCTGCATCTGGTTCTTTTCCCAGAACTTCACCCATTTGCGTCTTGTCTAGCTTGTCTTTATTTTCCAAAAAGAAGAGAGCTATCTGTTCAGCATCAAGCTCCACGAAACCATTATCAATAAAGAATTTCAGCCCTGACTTGAGCGACAGAGTAAACTTGATGGATCCCATTTGAAAGTTCTGCTCCAAGTTCCGTTTGCGGTCAAAGGCGTCCACAATCTGATCCGCCACCAACTGAGAAGCAGAGCCATCTAATGAATTGTCAGACGAATTGTAGGAACTACTTCTCGATCGCGCTGTTAACCCTCGTTGCACCGAGCCATCGTCAGGGTCGTCTAATTGCTGTTGCTGTTGATTTTGTGTGTCTTGCGTTTGCTGTTGCAACTTGAACTGTCCTACATCTTTCAATCCCAAAATAGCTCGAATCTTTTTACCTGCCGTATCATTAATTTTCGAGTGGTTCGCGGCAGGCATGTTCAATGCCTTGAGGAAGCTATGGAGCACCGACACCAAGACTTCCACCGCGGCAAGGCTAAGCTCAAAGTGTTCTTCGGCATCCTTTTTGGACATGTTGGATGGAATTTTTTCCGTCGATTTTCCGGACAATTTGGTCAAGTGGAAGAGAATGTCCTTGTAAAGGTTCATGGCATCAAAGTCACAATCATAATTGAGGAAGATTTGCGTCAGCAGCACTGGATCATTACACAAACTCCGAAGAGATTCCAGCACCAACGCCTTTTGTGCAAAAGTAGAGTTGTCTGATTGGAGCACTCGAAGGAAAATATTGGTCATGAAGACACTAATTTCATCCTTCAAATGGGTCTTAAATTTGTACACCAAAACAAGAAATATCTTTTGACTGATAAAGGCCACTTGGGTATGGTTCGACATACAATTCTTGAGCAATGCCACACAAAGCTGTGCCTGTACCATTTGAACAAACTTTTCGCCATAGCAGATATTGTCTCCAGCGCATTCCATAATTTGACAAATCAGCTCCAAACTCAAGACTTTATTGTTGAGTGCCAGTGGGTCGAAGGTATTTGTAGTGAAGATCTGTCTGGTCAAAAAGTTGGATGCAGTAGTATCCTTGTCATCAATTCCCTGCAGGGCCTTGGAGGATAGTTTGACCAAACTTCGCATCAAGTAATACGAGTCAGTGTAAAACAAGGAGTTTTCATTCAGTGGGGAATCTTCCATTTTCCGAACAATCGAAGAACAAATTTCCATCAAGCACGACTTGGATTTTTGTTGACACGAAGGATTTTTCGTCACCAAATAAATGTGAAAAATGCTTCGAATCACCAACAAGAGGGTTGCCTCATGAGCACTGCATTTTGGAGACATCATGATTGCCTGAAAGCAAGCAATGACATGGGTCTGAACAGAATCCTTGGCCGACTCTCCGCATTTCTGAATGGCATGCATGAGTTGATGCAAAAGAGATGGTTCCGGACGTTCCTCCACAGGAGTCTCCCGATGTGAGGGCCCACTTCCCGAGAGGTCGTCTTGGCCTCCTGCTCGTCCCGAAAGATAACCTCGTTTGACCAATTGTGTTGTACAAAATAGTGCTAATTCGCAAGCTTTGTTTGTCTTTTGCGGATGCGTAAAGATCAAAGTATAAGCTTCTAAAGCATTGGTAATTGATTCGTCCATCGGTTCTCGGGTGAGAGGGTCGTCTTCCAATTCCACTTTTGCACTTGGTTGTTGTTGTTGTTGTTGCTGCTGGTGCTGGTGCTGTTGTTGTTGTCGTATTTGAGTGGCGGCTGATTCCACACTGTGGCTACCATTGGTGCTAGTTGTTTTGGCAGTAGCATAAGTAGACGTTGAAATATCATCAAAGGGTCTCAAGTCATCATCCTTTGCTGCTTCTTTGAAATCTCCAATGGTGGATTCAATATCCTCCTCGTCAGATCCCGCCGCCTGTTGTTGTTGTTGTTGTTGCTGCTGTTGTTCCTCCAAATGTTCGTCCAATGATTTGTGTGGTGTGGCATCAGTTGGCTTTTCGTCGGATGGATCTGGTGGCCACGTTTCAAATTGAAATCTGTGCATTCCTACCAGAGCTTCGCCCAACTTGGCTTGGATCTCCTGAAATCAAACAAAATGCCAATGAGACGTGTGGTTCGTGTAGAGACAAAAGGGAAGGAGACAAAGGATTCGCCACTGCAACAATCGCACATACCTTGAATTTTCTTCCTCTCAATTCTTTCTGAATCTTGACAGTATTTGGAAGTAGCGTGTCTTTGATGAAACGATAATGCGGCGAGTCATCATGCTCCTCATCCTCGTCGGATTTGGAGAAGCCAGCCAAGGCATTGCTCATGAATTGTGCCATGATGTTGACAGTAGTAGACTAGGGAATGAATGAATCCTCTCTCTTCTCTCCACACGCACACACAAAACCACTAAGCAGTCTCTACAAATGTACACTCCAAGGATGAGAATGACAGTGAGTGTTGTGTTTGCAATGGGATACAGGATAGCAATGGGTTCAAAATGATCGTCCACGAGCAACCAATTTTCCAAATCGAGAGACCGTGGTTTCAAAAATTGCGACTAGCTCGAATCATTGTACACGTAATGTTGGCTGGCAGGCGTGTGGTGTTGCATCGGAGTTTAACGGATTTCCCCCAAATTTCACATCGCATCGCGGAAACCCAAAACGCTGCAAAAAATGACAGATCGTTTTTGACACTCAAACCTATCATCCATCATCTATCATATCATCATTAGCCATTAGGTTTTTATAAAGGAAACCAAATCGGCAAGATGAACAATCGGTTCGTTCGAGCTACTACAACGACAACGGTTACAAAGCAAAAGGCCAAGAATCCTCTGAATCAAGCAGGTCTTGACAAACTGCAGGAAGTCTATGACAAAGCATCCTCCAATCCCAACTCCAACTATGTTTTTACGGTACGCCGGGCCATGAAATCGCTGCAAAGCTGTCCTACCGCCATTACGACTCAAAAGGAAGCCTGTCAACTGAAATATGTGGGGCCAGCCGTTGCCAAGGTGATTTGTCCCACCTTTCTTCCCAGTCCTACTTCCTCCACAAACAACTACAATAACAACACAAACAACAATGACAGCAACACCCAACAACCGTCTCGCAAACGATCCCGCAAGACGGCAGCAAGTTCTACAGTCGAACAAGGCCCCAGCAAGAAAGAAAAAGTTTACAAACAAGAGCGATTGGCTGCAGAATCCTTGGATTTGAGCAATTGTGGTCCTTGGAAGGTCATTCTCATTATCGATGGACGAGAGCACAAATCCCAACACGTCGTGTCCAAATGCAAACAATCGGGGATTCCTTGTGAAGAACGTAACTTGCCCATTGGAGACATGGCCTGGATTGCACAAGCCCAAGACAAGATCTCGGGACGAACGACTGAAGTCTTGTGTGGGACCATTGTGGAACGCAAGGAATCCAGCGATTTGGTGGGGAGTTTGTTTGGGTCTCGTTATCTGGAACAGCGAATGCGCCTCAAGTCGTGTGGAGTCCCACAACTTTTGTTTCTAGTGGAAGGAAACTTGGCGTCCAACATTAATTGTCCACAAGAGACTTTGGAAATGGCCATTATGGAGACGAGATGTTTGGGATTTCATGTCATTCAGACGGAAAACTTGATGGATACGGTTCGCAAGCTCAAGGGATTGCACCGACGAGTCTTGCAGCGTACTTTTCCAGAAGCCTTTTCCCAGTTGCCTACTTATACAAGATCACCAACAGGAACCTTTGGGTTGCATCGCAAGCGTCGACCAACCTCACTGCTTGAAATGACCTTTGATACGACACCCAAGCCAGCATTGGGTGCCAAACGTTTCATTACATATACAGAACTCAAAGCCAAAGTGGAATTGGACCGAGAAGCTGGGACTCGTACGGTGGGAGCCATCTACATGGCAATGTGTAAGTATTGCGGCGCAAGAAATTGTATAGTTTCAACTCATTTCTGACTGACTCGTATCATTTGATTCTTTGATTCCTTCCTACATTAGTAAAACAAATATCCACGCTATCCCACAAAAAGTGCGAGGCTCTTGCCAAGATATATCCAACCATGAATGCACTAATGACAGCATATGCTACTTCAGACAATCCTGCCAAAATGATCCAAGATATTTCATTGGGCACTCAAAAGATGGGACCAAAATCTTCAGAAGCAGTCTATACAGCTATCTGTACCCAACGGGATGGCACTCGTCCGAATGGACCTACCATGGAATTTGAGGATATTCCCGTGGCCAAGAAGAGTCCGACAAGTGTCGGCCCTCCTGCAGCAGCGAATACGTATACCGGTGCATTGGATTCCTTTTTTGCTCCCAAGGCACCATCTCCACCCAAAGCAAAAACTGCTTCAATGACCGTTCCTGGTTCTGCTGCTCTTGCTGCATTGAAGAAACCTGCCAGCCAAAGTTATTCTCCGCCATCCCCTGATCGCAAACCGGCTCCATCCGTACTATGCGTCGACCTTACGGACGACACGCCTCCGAGACCATCATTCGCCAAGAAGCCTTCCTACTTGACGGATCCACCACCTTCGACTGGGTCTAGTGCTGGCTACAACAAATCAAGCACTGCTGCTCTCAAAGGTAGCATCGACAGCCAAAAAGCCACTCCGAAAGCTGCTCCCAAGACAGCAGTCCAGCTGAATTTTTCCAGTCCACTCTTTTCATCTCCTGATGATGATGATTCCTTGCTCCATTCTGCGCCATTTGCCAAACGTCCCAAGACCAGCACATTGGACGTGGCTTTGGCAAGGTCTGTGAGCTCCACTCCATCCCCTGCGGCATCCAGTACCGCATCGAATTCATCCACCACAAAGAAGAAAGCTCCAGCAGTGGCTGCCAAAGCGATCAGTTCTCCGTCAATTGTGGTCATGATTGATAGTAGTGATGAAGAGGATGACGACGAGTTACTGATGAAAAAACCATTGCAATCAAAGGCAAATGCACCATCAACAGTAGCCGCAAAAGCTGCAGAAGCAGCAGCTGCTGCAACGTATTCCATTCCTTCAAGTTCTCCCAACACAATCCGTCGAGTTTCGGATGGATCCTCCATTTCGACTGCATCTTCCTCCACAACAACAGGAGCAAGGGAAGTGCAGCAGTCCAAAAAGCCAACAGCTACGTTTGACCAAACGACTGCCAATGTCACAATGCGAAGGACCAACAAGAATTCCAACCCACCAAATCGCTGGCAGGATGCCTTGGATAGTGACTACAGTGATGACGAGGATGATCTTGGGATCTCGTTGGACCTTCGTAGTCGACTGGCCAAACGATCGAACACAGAAACCATTGTCATTGATTGAGTGGACATGATGCCATCTACTCAATGAATGAATGAATGAATCAATCAATCCATCATGATGACGATCATCATGTTATGCTGCTCTGTGATAGTCAATCTATAGATATGTGTATAATGGGATAGGTAGACAAAGTTATTGACTGACTGACATTGAAATTTTACTAGTTGCTTAACATATATAAAGCTGTTTTGTTACAGTTGCGACAGAGATGGGTCTTGTACCACCACTAGAAGATAATTATTCTTGGGGGAGATCAATATTTCTTCCCGGCGCGATCGAATTCTGATAAACGCCAAATTGCGGGTGGTATCCTCGTCATCTTCTTCTTCCGGAATGTCATCCTCATTGGGAATGGACTTGATGTAAATCGAGGCCGCATCCACGGCTTTTTTGAGCAGTTTGGGATTTCCGACCATGCCTTTTCCAGTTTGAGTCAAAATATCGCCACTTTTATTGAGAATCATGACGGCAAGAACACCTTGATGGGCGGCAAGTCGATTGACCGTTTCTTGGACTTCTTGAAAGCCAACGTTTCGCTTGGCCATTGTTTGTGTTATTTATTTGTAATGTGGCTTGGATGCTTGTGACTGGAATAAAGGAATGAATATATCAATCAATCGTCTAGCCAGCAATGCAATGGACAATGGAATGGAATAGATACTCAATGAATGAATCAACCTTCTCTTCCTTACTGCAAACTGCAAATGCTGTCGACAGTGGATAGTGTCTGGATGTAAACTTAGGGACTTGAAGGTCACGGTGTTGTTTTTGTTGATGACGACCAAGAAGTTGGCTCTTTGCAAGACAAAGACTGAATTTGAATTTACGTAGCCGGAAGTACCAAGTACACCGAACCCGTGGACCACTTCCGAAAGGGGTCCCCCGTTTTACATTTGATATTGGGGACCTTTATGGGGGATCTGCTGCTGATCATCAACATCATGGACAAAACAATTTCAGCTATCACAAGTGTTATCTGCCATAGCTCTTTTACTTGGCAACTCAAGAGACACAAGGGACACCCTCAACCCTTCAACAGATATTCAAAACAAAAATAAACTGGAATAGAAATGGCCGACGTTGGTGTTTTACAAGGCTGGGCGAAAAGCCACAAGTTAAGCCAAGCCACGCTGAGTGCCGATGGAGCTACCTTGGATTTGGGAGGCGAAACTGTGACAGCCAATGTCAAAGTTACTATTAGTCACGATGGAAAGTCTTGTGAATATACCATTGGCTCTATATTCCTACAAGCCGTGGATCCCACCATTTCTCTGCCGAAATATCGTTTGGCTTGTAAGAAACACAAAGTCTCAGATCCCGTCAAGGCTTCTGACAAACCCACGGTCATTGGATTCTTTGGATTGACTCCTGACGAAGAAGGAGCTGTAGCAGCAGCTCCAGTACCAGTCAAGGATGATGCGGCCGCTCAAAAGCCCCCACCCTCCTCGAAACCGCCACCACCACCTTCGGACCACCGTCATGACAAGAAGCGTCCACGCGAAAAGGATCGTCGTCACAAGTCATCGAAGGACAAACGATCTCGTCATTCGACTGGCTCGGCCGAAAAGTCAAAACCCAAAAAGGCACCCAAACAAATTGATGCCAATGCTTTGTTTACAAACTTGACAACCGTCGTGACCAAACGATCAGAAAAGAAGGAAGCCGAACAATCAGAGCTCTACCAGGCACTCAGTCCAGAAGGCTTTGAAGTCACTCCTGATTTGCTACAAGAAAACTCGGAAATTTGTCAATCAATTCAAGCCAATGAGATTCCCGTCGGAAACTCGGCGTCCATTCTAAAGGGAAGCACCGAAAAGGATCTGAGCCCTGTGTTAAAGTTGTATTTGGACACGATGCAACCCAGCAAAAAGATGGCCGCCAAACAAGCCCGCATACAAGACAAGGCGAAACGTTCCTGGCGACCCTACTTGGTGGGCAAGAAACCAGTTATTATTTTGCCCAAGGGCATGACGTCTCCATTGACCATGACAAATGCCCACGAATTCTTTGGCAAATCCCTCTTTGTCCCACGAGATGTCATGATGAAACGGGGCGCTTCGGCCAGGAATGCTCCTACTACGTTCTCTCGTAAATTGAGCCAACGGTTGGGTGGTGGCATGGTGGAATACGAATTGATGGACAACCCAAAGTCCAAATTGCCAACCGCCAAGGATTGGGAACGCGTTGTGGCGGTCGTGGCTTTGGGTCATGGCTGGCAATTCAAGGATTGGCCGGGGATTTACTCGAATCCTGTTCACTTGTTTGCCAAGACCTTTGGTTTCTATGTGGGAATGGAAGGAGCCAAGATTCCACAAGAGATTCCACAATGGTCGGTCGTCAGGCAAACTCTCAACCGAGACAAGCGTGGATTGGATTCTGTGACCTACGCCTCGTTTTGGAACGGATTGGAAGAATTCATGACGATTCACAAGCCAGAAATGTTGCCACAAGATGAATAATGGAATGATTTTATTTTTAAAATAATATTTACTATTTTAAAATAATGAAATGACTGGGTTAATGAAAGTATGACATGCTTGGATACACACCACATATCAGTCTTGCTTAGATGATGAAGAGTTGAATCAGCCTTGATCTTGCAGCAGGATATGAACAACAGCAATGGAGTTTCTAAAAAAACACACCAAGAAAACAAATCAAACACGTACTGTACAGTATAATACTGTTGCAATCACCACTTTCTCTTTAATAATTAAAAATCCATAGTGATTTCAAAACATCAAAAGGAATCATGATATTCCAATTCCTTTTTGATTCATGCTGGAGTAAATAAAATATTCCAATAGCTCCATGATGCTGTCAAGTGCTGTAAAGTTAGGATTTAGTTACCGGCAAGCTTGTCAGCACGGCACTTCTTCCAGCAGTCCATATCGAACAAATCACAGCTGTCACATTCCCATGGGTACTCCTTGTTTCGGATGCCCATGTATTCGGGGTTGCCTTCGGTAGGGCGGTGGTGGTGCTCCTCAATCAGCAAATCCTTGGTGACCGCAAAGATACAGAGGGGTCCGCAAAAGAAGATCGAGATTTTGATCCAAGTCCAGAGTTCGGCCCATTCTTCGGCATGAGACTTGTGGGGGTTGGCCTCCATGATTTCCTTTTGGTAAGACAATCGAGCACGGATTTGCTCAATGGCCTCCTTTTCCATTTGTTCCTTGGTGCCCAAACGAGGAACGGTCACCACATTACGGCGGGCGGCCACAGCAGGGGTACGGCGAACCAAAGCACGAGAGAGGTTGCGAGCAGCAAACGACTATTTGTGTTGAAATGGATGGATGGATGGATGGATGCATCGAATATCGGAATTTTGGAATTTTGGAAATTGAGAGGGGGTCGAATAGAAAAAATATGGTGAGCGTAAATACGGAAATTCAATTGGAATACGGAATATAGGGATCGGCAAACGGCAGGTCACCAAAAGTCTCTCTCCCTCGAATCTTGACTTTTCCAGCAGTGAAATCATCTTTTCTCCTCCATTGTACCAATGACACATCCAACAATGTAGTTACGCTCCTTTTGGAGCATTCAAAAAGACAAGTATCACCTACCATCTTGGTCTAATTCGAACGAGAACGCAACGTTATGCTTGTTGTTGTTGATGCGGATCTGGCTGCCGGCCGAACAGGGAAAGTGACGAAAGACCAATCGCGCGACATCGTGCGAAGCGAAGCCCAACAAGATCAGTCCTTCGCCCGACTTTTAAAGGAAAACTGACAGACTGTGAAAACTGGCTTGGGATCCCGGAAGACATTTTTCGAACCTTTTTCAACGGCTACTCCGTAGACGTAAGTAGAATTCCTACGTAAGATCTCGTACGACTCATCAGAACGTCGTGTTTGTTTTGGACGGAGGGCAATGCCAACGAGCCAGGTATGACGACGACAATAATAAGATTCTTGCCTCCAGGACAACCACCCCAATAGACCGCTAGAAGCAACACTAATAAATTAAAAAGATGGAAGGAGAAGACGCTTTTTTTGCTGCACCACCAGCTGACGCCCCACCAGGCGAAGATGGAACCATGGATCAAGGATTTGCATTTGTTGGCGAGGGTGGTGAGGATGCCTATGATGCTCCTCCCGCCGATGATGCCTTTGCTGCTCCACCAGCCGACGACGCATTTGCTGCTCCTCCTGCCGATGACCCTTTCGGTGCCCCGCCGGCAGATGATGCATTTGCTGCTCCACCAGCGGAAGACACTCCCATTGTTTTGGGGGCTCCTTCCGAAATGGCTCCACCAGAGGAACCGGAAGAGGTTCCTCCACCAGTGGAGGCTTCGGCTATGAAGAAATTCAATGAAGAATGGCAAGCAACTTTGAATGAACGTCAAAGCGAGGAAGATACCAAGAAGGCAGAAATGGTCGAAGCTGCCCGTCTTACCATGGAGCAATTCAAAAAGGACCGCGAGGCCAAGCGTGAGGCCAAGATGTCAAAGAACCGTGAAGACGAGCAAGCCAAGTTGGAGGCTATTGAAGCAGATTTGGAGAATGACAACAGCTGGCAAAAGGTCAGCAAGATGGTCGAATTGACACACGATGGGGCCGAAGATGCAGAGGATGTCAAGAGAATGCGAGATGTCCTTATTTTGTTGAAGAACGAACCTTCAAGAGCAGAGGCTGTAGGCGCCTAAAGTGTACAGATTTGGGCAAATAGTATAAATGATTTTCTTTCTTTTTGCTTTGAGCATCATTTTTGTTGTTGTTTTGCTGTATCGAGACTGTAATTGAAGGAGATGCCTTGGGGGGAACATACAAGTGACAGGCTCCACCTTATGCATGATGTGCAAATTGTCAGGCTATTATTATTGAGTCGAGGCACCAACGTAGGAGTCAACGTTCAAACTAGACTGACACCATTGCATCTGGCATGTGAGAACAAAATGTTGGATCTGCTGGTGCTGTGCTGGCCATGGATGTTGGAAAACTGTTGTCGTCTGCTCCAAAGAATGGAGCAAGAATGTACTACCGGTAGGGTCCATCATTCAAGAAATGGATGAAACCGAGTTGCAAGTAGAACATCGAATAGACAATTCTTACTTTTGCATTAGGAATATTGCAGATATATTGACTGTTCTACTGCTACCGGTAGCTCATGCTACACTATCGGTACCATACGGTACTACCATATTTTGAATTCTACAATATTCAATATCGACCAAATCAACAAGTCGAAGTAGTCAACTTCAAAGGTTTTGATATGACGATGACGTCATGACAATATTTTGTGAATTTAGCTCTCACTTTTTTCAGTTTGTATCATAGTTGCGATTGGTCGCCAAGGACAGCGACATCTTCCAAGGCAAACCTTTTGAAATGACACGCTCGAATTTTCGTTCACCTTGAGCTCCAAGAATAATAACGTCACTGCTGCTCCTCCTGACGAGCTCAACGACGCCGCTTGATTCTCAACTTCATCAAGACGCTGTTTGTGGATCACTTTGAAGTCAATAACTTCGTTCATTTTGGTTACAAGCAATCACCATGAGCGATAAGGTGACTGTTATGCTTTGGTGAGGTGCGAGCGAAGGCGACTGTAGCACTGCTTCGCAACTGTTGTTGGCTCGAGTCCATCAAATATTGATATTAACGCCGTCGGTCCAAATGGACAGACACCACTATGATATACCTAGCATGCGCTAACGATCATCTCAAAATGGTCAAACCCCTACTGCAGCATGGAGCTTGCGTGGAAATTAGGGGGAACCGAAGGATGTAAACCTTTGAACGTAACATGTAATGAAGGAAAGAATGTTCCACTGATTTTGCTTCTATTGGAGAACGGTACCGACGTCAATGCCAAGGTGGATCATCAAGTTATTCCAATACTCGTGGTATATCACCTTGGATTTATACAAATTGTCGAACTTCTTCTAGCCCGAGGGGCTGCTATTGACACGAAATCCGAGCTCGGCTTCACTTCATTTCATATTGCCATAGTATGCGCTGGCCTCTGGCACATTGCCAACTTTTTGCGAAGTCGAGGCGTTGATATTGAAGGACAGACAAAATATGGAATAACGCCATTGTCCTTGGCTAGTCGATCGTCTTGTTTACGGACTGCTCGGGTATTGCTGGATTATAGGTTCCGATTTTATTGACATGCACTTTATGCAAAACATGTTGGTACAACGGCGTTTGGCGAATCGACACCACCAATATTTGCCTGCAATCGTGGTAATTTGGAGATGGTGCGTTTGTTGCTAGACCGAGGAGCCGAAGTAAACCCAACAGGAGAATCGAATTGGACACCATTGCAGACGGCATGTAAGTCCATTTTTTACAAGATTGCTCGCCTGCTTTCGAAACGACGAGGTGCAGATTTGGAAGTCAAGGAATGCTACGACGACTACAGTCCCATTAAATACCGCATGCTATTTTAACCATGCAAAGATTATTCGGATGGGATGCCAACCTTAAAACAAGGAACATGTGTGGATGCACACCTTTACACAGTGCATGTTATGTTGGCAATCGGGGTTTTGTCTTTTTGTCGCTAAATCACGGCGCTCGTTTGGAAGACAGCCATTACAATGAAATGACACCCCTATATATTGCCTGCAAATTTGGTAGATTGGAGGCCGCCACAGCTTAGCTAGATAACGGCGCCAATGTGAATGCAATGGGGGCAAATGGATCGACACCACTGCTTGCTGCTTGTGACAACAATAGTAGGAGGAGGCTGCTGGAAACTTGCTGCTGTATGGCTATTGGTTCGCCAATGCCCACGGCTGGTGATGGATTGGCGACAATAACTTATAAACAGAGCATGAATGAATAGGTTCTCGGTTAGGAATGTTGCAGATATATAGGCTGTTCTATTGCTAACTACAGGTGCTGTGATGCTATTATACACATCTCCAAGCGGATTTTCTGAACCAAATCAAGAAGTCGAAGCAGTCACAACTTGAACCTGAAATGTTTGATGGCTGACATTTTTGGTGTGAATTTAGCTCTCACTTTTTTCATCGCGTTACAGCTGGCATTGATTGTCAAGGTCAGCGACATATTCCAGAGCTAAATACATTGCTACTCTCTCTCTGTCTGTCTGGGCCTATACTACTGAAAGGACGCGCTTGGATTTTAGTTCCCCTCGACTGGAGTTACAAGAACGACGAAAAAGCAAAGTCACTGACGCCAAGGAACGCCGATTCTCAACTTCATCAAATACCTTTTGTGAGCCACTTTAGATTCAGTACTTTCGTTCACTTTGCCTACAAATGACAATGACCTATTACTTTACTATGGAACTACATAAAGCTGCGTGCGAAGGCGACTACAATCTTGCTTCGAAGATGCTTTTCAGTCGACGACAGTTTGATGTCAACGCCATTGGTCCAAATGGACAGACACCACTATACCTAGCATGCACTTATAACCACCTCGAAAGTGTCGAGCTATTATTAGAACATGGCGCTTGCATGGAAACAGGTGACATTGAAGGGATTAGACCTTTGCACATTGCGTGTGCTTGGAATGATGTTACTCTGGCTTTTCTTTTGTTGGAGAACGGTGCCGAAATAAATGCCATGTCGAATCATCAAATGACGCCATTGGACGTGGCATGTCGACATGGTAATTCGCGAATTGTTGAAATGCTTCTAGTACGAGGTGCTGCTCTCGAAGGAAACGCCAGATTCGGTCCTTTGCACTTTGCCACAGAAGCTGGCCACTTTCACATTGCCGACATTTTGCTACGACAAGGCGCTGACATTGAAGCAAAGACAAAAGAGGGACTATCCCCGTTGCAACTCGCTTGTCACTTTTCTCATTTGCGGACTGCTCGGTTACTACTGGATCACGGTGCAAATTTGGAATGCAGTTCGGATGATGGTGAGCACACACCACTGGTTATCGCGTGTTATTATGGTCATTTGGAGATGGTGCGTTTCTTGTTAGACCGAGGAGCCGAAGTAAACCCGACAAGAGAAATGCAATGGTCGCCATTGCATACTGCATGTGAATTCGGCTATTGTGAGATTACACGCCTGCTTCTAGACCGAGGTGCAGGTTTGGAAGTAAAGGGGTGTAAGGCGGAAGCCACTCCATTGCATATTGCATGCGAGAATGGACATCCATGGATTGCTCGGGTATTATTAAGTCGAGGTGCCGACCTTGAAGCCAGGGACATCAGTGAATCCACACCTTTGCATATTGCATGTTATGGTGGTAATCTGGACGTTGTCCTTGTATTGATAGATCACGGTGCTTGTTTGGAAGCCAAACGGCGTGAAGAAATGACAGCTCTACACGTTGCTTGCAAATTCGGTAGATTGGATGCTGCCACAGCATTGTTAGATAACGGCGCCAATGTGAGTGCAATAGACAAACATGGATCGACACCAATGTTTACTGCCTGCCGGAGCAACAATACAGAACTCGTTTGGCTATTAGCTCACCGATGCCCATGGTTGTTGATGGATTTGAACCATGATGTAGTCCACAAGGGGGGTCTTGCGGGGCTCCATACTGAATAATGATACAGCATCAATGAAAAGAAAAAGGATCTATCAAGCACTGTGGTAAACTGATAATTTAGCATTGGACATTACGAACCACTATACTGCAAAAGGACATTTATCAACATCGACGTAAAATAGCAAAAAGGTTTCTTCAAGGTCCGCCTCCAGGACCTTCATTTTGTCGGGTCATCCAAGCCGGCAAGGTTCGGCCACGACCTCGGCCACCACCAAGATTGGGTGGCTCTTCAAACGAGGGTGGAGGGGGTCCCCGAGGTGGTCCTCGCGACTGACTGGGTGGTGGCAAATTTGCAGATGGCGGAGGAAGATTGTGTCCACCCGGTCCACCCTCGTTGGTCACCCAGCCTCGACCACTGCCAGCGAGTGCAACACCACCAGACATGTCTCTTGGCGGCATTCCACCATTGTCATGGAGAGGTCCCTCGTGCCGTTGGGGAGGTGGTGGGGGACCACCGCCTCCTCCAACATCATCATTGGATACCCAAGCGGGAAGAGTTGGTCCTCTATCACGTCCTCCAGGACCTCCTGGTGCCGATGGACCATCGTCGGCAAACGCATCTTGACGCGAGCGCTTGTTGTTGTTGTAATTGTTGCGGCCACCGCCACCGCCTCGATACTGATTCTCGTCATATCGGTCGTATTGCTGCTGCTGTTGTTGTAACTGTGGGTCACGATCATATGCCCCACCACCACGATATCCGCTGCCACCATCAGCACCGCCTGATTGATTGTCATTTCCAGAAGCACCAGGATAGTACGAATCGCCGCCATGATTGGGTTGATAATCATTGTATTGGGGATTCGCTGGAGCATTAGGAGGACCTGGACCAACAGGGCGATCGTAGTTGTTGCGGGAGTCTAGTGGTTGTTGTGGTTGTTGTTGATAAGAAGCTGGATCACGGTAAGAGTCATCGTATTGGGCACCGGCACTGGCACCACCACCGCCGTAGGATGCTTGACCACCCGAATAGTTGTTTTGGTTATAACTATCACCAACCGGCGGTGGTTGGCTTTGAAGGTGTTGGTCGCCAGCATTGTAGCTGCCAGCATCTTGGTATAATGGTTGTTGTTCTTGTTTCACAGCGCCACCCCAAGAAGAAGGTGGAGCTGCTGCACTAGTGACAGGAGGGGCTGGAGCTGGGGCCGGTGGTGGAGCAGTAGGAGCATTCCATCGAGAGGACGTGTCTTGTTGTGAGGTACTATACTGCGCACTTGGTGCGGATGGTTCATATCCTGCTGCTGCTGCTGCACTGGCGGAAGCTCCTCTGTAAGCCGAAGGTGGAGCCGGTGGTGGTGCCACTGCCGATGGCATGGACGAAGTGGCAGAAGCTGCTCCAGGAGTCGATGCAAAACTCCTGGCTCCGTGCGCCTTTTGTCGCAACTTGCGCATTCGCTCGTCTCGCTTTTTCTTGGTGGCATCTTGTAGGGTTTTGGAATCGACCGAGGAGGTGCGAGACGATTTGGCCGCTCCCGTAGCAGACATGGCCCCATTGGAGATGGCCTTGAAATCCGAAAGGTAGGTAGTGAGTGCTTTGGCCAGGGATTCCAAGGAAGTCAAACTCTTGGAGGATGCAACTTCTAGAATAGCCTCGGTTGTACCCTTCCAATCAATGCTTTGCTTTTCCTTCAGCACATTGAGTTTCTTTGAATTATCAATGACAAAGCAGTTTTGCATGAAACCGAAACCACTCAGCAGGATATTCAGATGCATATTGTTTTTCTGGTCTTCAATCGTTTCCGTCTTTTTGAGTTGTTCCACGGATTGCATCAACCAAGTGTTGGAAACATAATTTCCAATGTGCATCGACTTGTCTGTCTTGATTTTACTCTTGAACAAAACTTGCGCCATGCCTCTATCGTCCTTGCTCTTTGCCAGCACACAAGTTTGACGTGCAATGGCAATGACCAAGCACTTTAGTTCCAAAGATATCGGTTCCTTAACATTGGAGACGAGTTTGACGAGACCTCCAGGATCCGACAGATAAAACGCTTTGGCACTGACAAACTTGTCCACATCGTCCCAGGATTCCAAGAAGGTTGAAAAGTCGATGCTGGGAGAAACAAATGGTTTCAAATCATTCTATAATGCGATGAAGAAGAAGAAGAAGAAGAAGGGGATTATGAAGCGTGAGTAAACAAACAAAACCAAACGAGCTCATACAATAGCATGATGGGAGGTTTCATTCCAACACAGCAAATAAAGTGTCGTACCATTGCAGATTCCAGATTTTCTTTGGAATAGGTTGCATCCACCGCCTTTTCTTCTGTCGCCGCTACGCTCTTTTGTTCGTTTTCATCGTTGTCGCTGCCAAAGAGATCGTCATCTTCCGAAGAACTGTCGTCACCAAGCGTCGCTTTTCCCTTTTTGGTGAGCCTTTTTGGCTTTGTGGCGACCTCTTCTTCTTCGTCACTCATATTATGTTAATACGCCGTTTAATGTGTGATGTGTAGACTATGAACGGAAGAAGAATGTCTCTATAAAGCACAGTCACGAAGATGCCGTATCATCATTGGCAGGCAGTCGGTCGAAAGATCTGTCTTCCTTTTTCGTACTACAGACGGACGACGACGACGACGACATGAGAAAGTGAAAGAGTTCGAAACAAGAAGTCTTGGCATTTTCCAGGTCTCACTGGCCCTCCTAGTTTAGGTCGCAAATGACACTGGAAGGGTTTTTTGATTTATTCCATCAGTCATCTACCATTTGTCATGCCCAAAAGCAAACAAATGTTCACGGCATGATAATGATTCAGATCAAATTCACGTGCCATTGAGAAAGGTGACGAAGACCTGTTTGTGTTTGATCATCTATGGGATACAATCCTTTTATTCCACAACAAGAACAATAACAACGACGACGACTTCTCAAATACCTCATCGAAGTATAGAGCGGCGCTGCAGTGTCATTTTGGATTGGTCATCCATCCATCCATCCATTTGATCATTTGTTTGTTTGTTTTTCAATTAAAATCCAACGACTCCAAACATGTCGACAGAATTTCGAACGCCGAATGGGGACGCTTCGACAATGGGTGACGCTCAAATAGATATTATGGTTCGGAATCTGCGGCGACGCTTATGGAGAGCCTTTCAAGAAGATAATGCTGAAGCTGCTCTCAGAACTTATCAGGCAACCTTTGACGACTACGAACAAATGATCAAGGAAGAGGAGGAGGGAAAAGACAAGTTGGAAGGCGATGCGGAAAGTCGCTCGAAATCGTCACGGACGGTAAGTATACATTGTTATTTTTTTCTCTTGTCTTTTTGCAATCAATTAATCAATCAATCAATGCATATCATGATGATAACTCGTGGCAAACATTCCAAAAATGTACTGTAGACGACTCGAAGAAGGGGGTCCGTAAAAAAAGATGGAGAGTCCAAAAGTCGATCCAATTCCCGAGGTAGACCCAGTTTGGAATCAGAAGACTTGGCGGCGGTGATGGGAATTAGCATGGCGGCGGACATTCATCGACCCATGAAATCCATTTTGCAAACGCGTATGAAACCTTCGGATCGATTCATTGCCGATGATTTTTTGAGCCCTTTTGCTAGCTATGACAAACCGGCACAAACCAAACTGCCAGATGTCAAAAAGGAGGAGGAGAAACGACGAATAAGGAAACAGCAAAAAAAGGCAAGAGCGGCATTTAATGTATTTTCGTTTCGAAAGGATTTGAACAATGTTCCGGAAATCAATCCTGAAGAGGCTGCTGCCAATGAAGCAGCAGTTGAGGAAGAAGATCCTAACATGACAACTCCACTTCATGAGGCGGCTCGACTAGGTTCAGGTTCCTTGCTACGAGTGCTACTAGGGAATGGTGGAGATGCCAATTTCAAGAATGGAAAGCAACGAACAGCACTGCACAATTGTTGTGGTGGTGTCTCCAAGGACGAACATCGAACTATTGTATCTTTAAATTTACCAAATGACAAAGACGTTGCCAAAGAAGCCGGAATTCAAGCACCGCACATATCGAGAGAAATAATGGATTTAATGAATGAGGAAGCGGAAGACAAGGAGAAAAAGAAAAAGGCCAAAAAGGGGGTTCGGAAATTCAAAGCGGTGGGCAAAATGTTGATGAGAAGCAATGCATACAAGGCCTCTTCTGCTGAAGATGAAAAGCCACAGAGTAAGCCGCGGAGGACACGACTGGACAAGAATCAGTTGGCAGATTTGGCAGTGGATCGAATTGATGCAGCCTTTACGCTCTTGTCATGGTCTCAGAAATCGACTGGAGTCGGAGTATCCTTGAATGCTGTGGACGATTTGGGTCGTTCGGCTCTGCATTATGCAGCGGAAATGGGACGATCAGAGATTTGTAGCGCCATTATGTCAAACTTTGAGACCATGTATACCATTGTCGACGAAATTGGGTCTCGGACGCCCTGTGAGTGTGCGGCGCGTCAAGGGCACAAGGAGTTGGCTGCGCAATTGGAAGCTAGGGCACTTTTGTACGTTGATCCAAGTGGTCTGGACGATGAGTTGATGGCTTCTGTGGAGACACCCTATACAGATGATGAAGACGGAAATGCATTGGCACCTCCTTTCAACTGGTTCAAGACATTAAAGTCGAGTGAGGTACGGAAGGAACGAGAGAAACGAATGGAGGGTGGTCTGGAGAGAATGCGGGAAGCTATACGACAGGTTGAAGCCGATCCAAAATCGAAACGATATCAATCTAGTGGTTCGGACGATGACGAGGATTTGTCTCCCGAAGAATTGAAATTGCGCCGGGAGGCAGCAAATGGAAATGTAAATTCGGTTATTGAAGCAATAGAAGGAGATAGTGACGAAGCACCAGACTTTTCCCAACTTCAAGACTCGCATATCGAACGATTCTTTGCATACCATCGATGGGATACCTACGATGCCGTGGATGCCTTCAAAAAGAACCCATTCAATGCATTTAAAAAGGCTCAAATTCAGATCCCGTCGGCTCCAGTTGAAGAAACAAAAACATCGGAAGAGAGAACTTGCCCTATTTGTTTTGACACCATCGAAAAAAGCGCCAAGTGGATGAAGTTTGGGGATGGGTGCGGCCATGCGTTTTGCACCGATTGTCTCGAGGGATATGTTATGGATTGCGCCAAATCATTGACACCAGTGTCCAAAATGAAGTGTCCGCAACATGGCTGTCACGGCAGCATTGGTGAGAAATTCATCGAGAAACTGATGAAAGATCACCGCAAAACATCCAATCGAATAGAGGAGGCTACGATCCGTCACTTTGTGTCGTCATCATATGATTTTAAATTTTGCAACCATCCAGGATGCACTGGTGTGGTTAAGAAAATGCCGCAGAAATTTTTTTCAAGGTCAGGGTATGATCCAGATTTGCAAGATTACTGTGGGGCTGTCTGTACTGCAGGTCCAAAAAATCGATGCCCCCCGGGATCAAGTCCTACGTTAACATATGATGGTGTGGAAGATTCGAAATACAACAGTTGTAGGAGTAAGGCACAACCACAGAGAGCTCATAGATTTTGCTTCAAATGCGGAGAATCGATGCACTGGCCTGTGCCATGTGATAAACTGAAAGATTGGAAAAATAAAATGCGGGAAGAGATTGGAGAAGTGGAAGAGGAGGAGACTGGTGCAAATGCAGACGACCTTGCCATGAAAATATGGATGAAAGCAAATACAAAAGCATGCCCACAATGTGAGGTCTTGATCGAAAAGAATGACGGCTGTAATCACATGACTTGTGTCAATCCATCTTGCCGCTATGAATTTTGGTAAGGCTTCCAGTGAGTTGAAGATGCTGAGGTAGACTATTGCCTAACCTTTCCTTTTTCTTTTGCAGCTGGATCTGTCTTCGGGATTGGAAACTGCATGGCTCAGCAACAGGTGGTTACTTTCGTTGCAATATTTGGAAAGAAGAGGGCGAAGGGGATAACCCAGATGCAGCTGCTGCCGCCGCTGCCGAAGCAGTGGTCAATGCAAATGAAGGCGACGCTGAAAACGACGACGGCTATGGAACTGCCATCTATTCTGCGAGACAACAGTATAGAAAACGGCAGGACGTGAATCGTTTCTTGCACCACTACACCAGATATGAAGCACACGGCCAGAGTGCTAGGTTGGAACGCAACATGGCACAAAACGCGACGAAACGTCTTGCACCTGTGGTTACTGCTGCCATCGAATTCGATGGTTCGCCAGCCTTCAATTTTAGTGGAAAAGGTGTGTTGTTCTACCTCGACAAGGTCTGACTTCTTGGGCCTTTTTTCTAAGCTCTTTCACTTCTTTTTATTTGCAGGTCTATCGTTTATCCATTCTGCTTTCACGGAACTCTTGGAATGTCGTTCAACTTTGAAATATAGCTACGCCTATACTTTCTTTCGATATCCTACTTTCTTTCACTTTCGGCGAATTGACGAACTCAACAACATTCGAAGAGAGAAGGCGATGTTTGAGAAGTGTCAGTCTGAGCTTGAAACCATTACGGAACAAATGAGCGATGTGCTGGCAAGATCACACATTCGAGCATCACAGGTCCAAATTTCATTTTTGACAGCTACCGCTGCAGAAAAACGGGTCGACTTTTCCAATTTGATGTTCACCATCCTCCATTCCGAGAGAGGGAAAAAACGAACAAGATTAGAAGGCCTGCCACCTAAAAAACAGTTCTTGACGGACTATGCATCCGACGATGGTTACGACAGCTACGAGTCGTACAACAATGGTTACGATAGCCGAGGAGAAGAGGTCGCTGAATGGTCTTGTACTGCCTGCACCTACATCAATACGAAAAAAGGGAACCAGTGCTCCATGTGCGGAACACCACGTACTGTAATGTGATCCAACATTTGAGGAATGCATAGATGAAAGGCCCATACCCGTTCATGACATTAGTACTGTTAACTAATCGAGAAATAGTCTGGACCTTATTGTTGCGATCAATCCTCCTCTTCCAGAAGCTTGGTACTAATGGACTGCTTGGTGTTCATCCTAAAAAATCGGCAACGAATGGCATGTATCCTCTATTTATTTGTGCATTATCTCGCTACAACGCCTAGCTTAGTGAAACAATGGGCTATACAACTTAGGCCCCCATGGCAATTCCTCCATCGACATTAAATGTGTGGCCTGTGATGTAATCACACGCTGGGTCAAGGGCAAGGAATCGGACCATACCGGCTACTTCTTCGGGCTTTCCAAGTCGCTTGAGTGGGATTCCTGCAGTGACAGTTTCCTGCAAGTTTGAAAGGAAGGTAACAAAGTGAGTGGATTGATGCCGACATACTAGGTAGTCAGTAGCCCTGCGCCCAAACTTACCAAATATGCCTCGTCAAGCTTGTCAACCATATCGGTAGCAATGAAACCAGGGCAGACAGTATTGACAGTGATTCCACGAGAAGAGAATTCCTTGGCGTTAGCCATGGCCATACCGATGACGCCACCCTTGGCGGCGGCGTAGTTGGCTTGTCCAGGGTTACCGATTTGCCCGACGACAGAAGAGATGTTGATGATACGACCAGTGCGCTTCTTGGAAGCAAGCTTGAAGAAGGCTTGAGTGCAGTAGAAAACACCAGAAAGGTTGCAATCGATAACGGCTTGCCATTGTGCAGGCTTCATGCGCATAACAAGTCCATCCTTGGTGATACCGGCATTGTTGACAAGGACATCAACGGTTCCGAAAGCTTCGACGGACTCGGCGAAAAGCTTCTTGATGGAATCTGGATCGGAACCTATTATAGAGAAACGAAAGATAAAAAGTGTGAATTGAAATTGATAACGTTGAAGAAGACTCTTCTTGACAGCGTCCAGAAAACATTGATGCTCCCATGACACCAAATCACTCACTGTCAGCTTGAATGGCAACGGCATCTCCTCCAGCAGCCTTGATTTCTTCGACAGTGGCGGCAGCAGCATCAGCAGAACCATCAGAGACGTAGTTGATAATGACCTTTTGTCCATTTTTTCCAAGTTCAAGTGCGATGGCCTTTCCCAAACCACGGGACGATCCAGTTACAAGGACTACTTTGGCGTCATCGGCAACCATGTTCAAGGACGAAGACTTGGTGATGGTTCGGGAGACTCCCAAAGGTTGGTGCTGCACGAAAGCATTGGTAGTAGAGACCGCAAGGGCAGCAATGGTAAGAACAACTTTAGCAAACATCATCTTGGTCACTGGTTGATTGAATATTGATAGAGATCATTGCCGAAGCAACGATCCAAAAACGGATACGAAACAAAAAAGCGTACGTCGATGGCAAACTGTGATGGGACTGACGTCATTGTCGACTAGCTCGAATCAGGAGTCCTTTTCTACTGTAGCTAGTCTAGAGAAGCAAAAGCTGTCAATTTACAGTATCATACACGGGCTCTAATCAAGCTTGCTGAATTTAAAAGAAGTCATCATCGTCCTCTTTCCGTTTGGGAAGACCTTCGTTTCGTTCCATATTGGCAGCCTCAATCTCTTCTGGAAGGCCGTCTGGATATATTAATCTCCGTCGCATAGCTTCGTCCAATAACTCGGGATGCGCATACAGCAAGGTCTGACCATTGATCATAAAATTGGCGAAGGGGCGTGTCCCTGAGTATGGCTCAACAGCACTCAGGGAATCAAATACGTATTCATTCTTCCATCCAAATACGGATCGAGTAGTGGCCTTGAGAAAGGCAGTATTCTTGGCATCATCCGTTCCTTCCGGTGCTGGTACTTCTTCCATACTTAGCGCATATGGTCCAAAAACAAAGTGAAGCGAGAGTGTACTTCCCGTGGCACCAAAGAGAGCAATCCCACCGACCCCTGCCTGTTTGGCAGTCGGCAGATCACCACTCTTGAGAAAGATAAGCAAAGGCAACCCCACCAAACTCAGAACACATGAAGAAATGCTAACAATCTTGAGACGGGTAATGAGGCCTCCCATGGGAGCCTCGTAGTTGAATGTGCTCTTTTCATCCTCTTGTGCTGGCGTGTTGGAAGAGAAGCAACATGATTGTTGATCTTCCCATGAAGAAAGGTGGAATATCGATGGAGCTTTTGGCGCTTTTGATAGGTTGTGAAGAATTCCTGTTCGTGCTACTCTTACAGCTGTTGTCCTGGTTCGAAGCATGTTGTTGTCCCTGTGGTTCTATGGGTTCAGTTATGTTTGATGTGGTAGAAGAATGGAGAAGATGTTGACCTGATTGGATCGGTGTTGGTGAGGTCCAACTGGTCGGTGATCTGCGTAAGGCGGGCAGGCAGACCGTTTGCGTATCTGAAAATCCAAAATATGAATATTGAATATTTTATAATGTAGCTATTTCCGTATTCTTGTAGAATCTAATGACCACGTTCCGTCTGCATTGTCAAATACATATCCCAATTCTTTCGTGACAGCTTTGGTCTTTGCATGAACTCTTCTTGCGATGGCTACGCCACACACCTCTGCCAACAACTTTCCATGTTCATATTTTGGTTCCCGGATGACACCTGTTGCCATGGCCATTCGGTCCTTATCCTTGTAGAATCGTTCATAGTCAACATCTGGTGTTAGAGTATTCAAAAATTGCATGGCAGCAACAATGGAATCTTTGACTTGCGCCTTGCTGCTAAAGTTCTCGTAGTATGCCACATGTTGTGGCATGGTTGAGTCAAAGTTGCTCCAAAAGGTGTGGAAATTGTGATATTCTTCCGCCACATCGGGCATGGCAGGGCACAATCGATGTGCTTTCTCCAAAAAGCATTCCAATCCCTCTTTATAGCAGCGTCTGCTATTCCATCGAAAGTGATTCCTCAACATTTGATCGCCTGGATTTCTTGCTAGCCGTAATATGCCATGGAGCTTTTCGTGTTGGCGGGCAACATGAAGTTTGGCCGCGTTCAAATCCATATTGGGATTGTTGACTTTACCACCCATGTGTGACTTGAATACCACTATCCTCCGAAAGAGTGGAAGAGCGTCCCCGGCTGTCAACATCCCGTGGACCAATGTGCTGCTACCTTCATCAGGACCCAATCGGAACAAGGCAGTCGGCAATTGTCGTGATGAATTGTACATGACCATGCTTGTCTCCAAAGGAGCAGTCAAATTGCTGAGCAAGGATCGAAAAAGTCCATTGCCGCTGGTGGGATAGGATGGTAGAATGACAGGAACGGGCCAGCATTCAGGTGGATCCCATGTTTCCAACGGAAAGGAGAGACTGGTGCAATGCTGAAAGAGGTCCTTGTCGATTCCGTCATACACGGCAATCATATTGTCAATGTAATTCTGTCTATACTCTGATTCTGAAATGTTCCGTGGGATGTCGTTTTTGTGTTCGCGCAATTCATGACCTCGCGAGGGACATCGAAAGGTAGTCTTTCGAAGCAACTCTTTTTGTGAGCATTGCATATCCTTCTCTGTCAAACTGGAGACTCCATTTCCAACTGATTTTTTGTATTGACTTTTATTGGCACTAGGGAATATGTACTTTTCAAATTGTGCAACAACCGAGAGTAGGATCGTGATGGATAGCAACGAGCATCCATGCCTCAATATCATTTTTGGCGAAGAATGTGCAATGATTGCCTACGGTATGTGTGCCCCTTTTGGGACGTGCTTTGATAGGATGTTCCTTGGAGACTTTGAGATTGCTAGGGAGGCGGCCTTATCAGACGTCTAACCAATCGCAACCTTGAACTGATGGCCAAGTCCAAGTCTCATTGGAAACGCAAGGTTTTTTCAGTTTGACTTTGGTTTGATGTCGAAATAAACAACACGACCAACCCGACCGATTTTCGGCGGGAGAATAAAGATACTGTATGACGAACGACCCCTCTGACTCACTCAACCAACAGGATTATTCTGACCTGTTTCCCACAAATCAAAAAACCAGCGTCAATCAGATAATAGGTCGAAGGAAACGCAATAAAGTAACAAGAAGACACTCGAGAGCAGCCAATCCATCTCAAAATGCCACCCAAATTCTCTGGTATCCAAAAAGAGGTCTTTGGCCTCTATCGCACCATTTTACGAGAGGCCCGAAAGAAAGATCATCTTGCCAACAACAACGCCCAATCCTTACTCTCCTTGTGGTCCCAATCGGAGTCCTCGGTCTATTATGCTAGAAAAGAATTTCGGCACCAGGCGCACAAGGTTCCTAGGAATGACTTTCGAACGATTGAACACAAGATCCGGCATGGATACAAACAGGTGAAGCTGCTGAAGATGCCTGGCGTCAAGTTGGTCAGTGGGGCGTGAGGGTAGTGCTAGCTTGTGGCGATGAAAAATGATGTCGCAATGACGAGACAGTTAGGAAATACCAAAGTCTTATAGTGGTATAACTTGGAGCTTCAGCGTCAGCTCGGGGAATGTGTTGCAAGGATGATTGATTCAATGATTCAATTCATTGCCTCCATCGATCAAGTTGAAGTTCCCTCATTGAGCGTTGTTCGAACCTGAATGAATCAATCTATTGCGGACTACATAGAAGGTAAACCTTACAAAAGTGGTCGGTACCAGTATGTCGCACTACAGTGCTATTTTTAATAAATTCACCTTTTCTGAACTATCCGTGTGATTCCCTAAATTTTAACATCATACGTTGGAGCATTGCAATCATAGCAGGATCGATTACTCATGCTCCAATATCTACGACAACATGCTGCAAACATAAAATCGATGGATTACTACTGTAGCATTTGCACTTGTGGAGGTGTGGCTACAAGGGGGTCGCTTTGGACAACAAAACCATCCCTTTGCAACGCCACGCTTCGACCAACTGCACTATGCCTCTGGCTTCTTTTTCTTCTTCTTCTTTTTCTTCACTTCGCCTCCCTCTTCATCACCGTCACCCTCTTTCGACTTGGGCTTTTTCTTCTTTTTGGGCTTTTCCTCTCCGTCTACTGGTTTCTTTTTCTAATGGATGACAAGAGAGGATGAGATACTGTCTCCACGACAGGGCCCAACCAACGAACAGAAATAACTCACCTTTTTCTTTTTCTTGCCAGCTGCTTCTCCATCTCCAGCAGCTTCCTCCTTCTTTGGCTTTCCCATTGCCTCGGCTTTTTCCTTGGCCTCTCCCTCCAAAAACTTTGGATTGAGATGAAAGCCTTTGTATACACCATCGTCACCAACCTCGAGCCGTATCTTTCGGTTGTACCATTCGTCCAATACGCGTTCAATCTTTTCATCAGGCAAGGCATCCTGGGTGTCATACTGGGGAAAGTGTTGGCGAAAGGATGCCACTACTTCGGACTTGTGACAGCTTCCTCCTGGTAAGAGTCTCCAGTTGGAATATGACAAGAACTCCTTTTGCAAATTTTCATCGATAGGCTCGGGTTCTGCTGGTACTGGCGGAGCCTTAGTTTTGGCCTTGCGCTTGATTTCATGAACCACTCGTTTCTTGGGAGCTGGCTTCTTTTTGGAAGGCCGCTCGACTTCTTCAAAATCCTCATCACTATCGCTCTCTTCTTCCTCACTGGAATCGGCCTTCTTTTGTGGTGCGGCCTTGGCTCCTTTCTTTGGTCTTGGGCGTTCCACTTCTTCAAATTCTTCTTCATCGCTGCTTTCGTCTTCCTCAGGGGCTGGTTTGGCTGGTTTCTTCTTGGTTGGCCGTTCCACCTCTTCAAAGCTCTCCTCGTCACTTTCGCTGGGTTCCTCTTCTTCTTCGGAACTAGTGTCCCACTCGGGGCCCATTTCGTCATCTCCCATGGTGATAGAGCGTGATGTATGTATTTATGTACGTATCGAGTAAACAGGTAATACGCTGATGCGTGCGCCAACGGATCACTTGGGATAATAGTTATAGCAGATGTCTGTTGGATGATTGTGAAGATAAGTCACAATGCGGTTCTCAAATACACCAAACTGACCAGCTCTCTTATCGACAACAAACAAGGATTCAAAACTGATGACTCCTCCTTTCGATAGATTGCAGATGCGAACCTTTGCTCGATGGAAAGTATCCGTCGTCGAGGCTTCGTCCCTCTATCTGCCTGCTTATTCCACGCGATGACCAGTTTGAGGTTCAGTGACACTAGATTGACTCATGCGACTACATAAACTGGTGATGGATTGATTGATTGATCCGTTCGATCTCAGTCAATTGTTTTTTTTTTGCAATCGCAACTTTTGGGTCTTTTTATTAAATTTCAGATTGAAATTGATGGAGCTTTCAAACACATTTGCGAGATTCAGATCCATCATGAAGGGATAAAAACCCTGGACAAAGAGGTAAACTCTCATGTACACTATACATTCTTCCGCACTTACTATGGAGGGGCTACAGGCGGTTTGGAAGAGCGATTGGGGGATTTGAAGATGATTGGTATTGGAGGAAGTCTCGATGTTAGCAGTATGGAGGCGATAATCTCAGAGTGCAAAGACGCTGATCGCCTAGAGAGACTTGGTACTCTCTTTGATGACTATCTAGGAGAACCAAAGTTGGCACTCAAAGTATACACGAAGCTTTTGGATTTGCCGTCAGAAGAGAATAAAAGTACAAATGACGTCAAGGCAAAACTCTTTCTCAAGATTTCAAAGGTTCTACAAGCCCAAGGCAAATTCAAGGATGCTATGAATTTCCTTAGACGAACACTGGCACTTTCCCTCGATGATACAAGTGCCATTATTCCTGCATGCTGCACGAGAATTGGCCGAGTCTCGATGGACCAAGGGAAACTTGACGAGGCAAAGGAGATTTTCCACAATGGACTTTCCATTAACATCCAACGGTTTGGAGAACTGAACGAATATGTCGCTATTTGCTATCGCGACATTGGCCAAGTGGCCAGAGCTCAAGGTCAACTGGAATCTGCCAAAGAGATGTTCCGGAAATCTTTACGTATCAATCTGCAGGTATACGGAGAAAACAACCAAAAGGTTGCTGAGAATTACTCTGACTTTGGCCGACTAGCAATGGTTCAAGGCCAATTGAAATATGCTGGGGAGATGTTTCAAGACGCGCTGAACATTAACGTCAAAGTATACGGAGAAGACAATCAGAATGTTGCAAAGAACTATACTGATTATGGCCGCCTCGTGCTGGCTCAAGGTCAAATGAACCGTGCAAGAGAGTATTTTGAGAGATCGTTAGCTATCAACATTGCAGTGTATGGAGAAAGCAGTCATACCGTTGCCTCAAACTTCATTGACTTGGGTCGTTTGGCAAGGAATCAAGGACAGCTCGAATCTGCCAAGGAATTGTTTGAGCGGGCTCTCAACATTGATATCGCAGTGTTTGGGAAAAAGAACCAAAACGTCGCTTCAGACTACACAGAAATTGGTCGGTTGGCAAGAGGTCAGGGGCGTCTAGATTACGCGGAGAAAATGTATGACAGCGCCCTGGGTATAAATCTGGAAATATACGGAGAAAACAACCAACATACTGCTTCAAATTATACTGACATTGGGCGTTTATTGGGGGATCAAGGACAGCTTGAAGCTGCAAAAGAAATGTTCGACAAGAGCCTTGAAATCAACACAGGCATTTTTGGTGAAAACAACCAAAAGATTGCCGAGAACTTAACCGACATAGGAAGTTGGGCGCGGGATCAAGGCCAGCTCCACTTCGCGAAGGAGCTTTTCGACCGGGCGCTCAGAATCGATATGCAGGTATATGGGGAAAGCAATCAGCATGTTGCAGCGAAGTATACGTATATGGGCCGCTTGGCAAAGGACCAAGGTCAACTAGAGCGGGCCAAAGCGATGTTTAGGAAATCTCTTCACATTAACACTCATGTTTACGGCGACAGCAATCAAAGCGTTGCAAATTGCTTCACTGACATTGGTCGCCTATTGAGGGACGAAGGTCAGCTTGAATCTGCCAAGGAAATGTTTGAGAAAGCGCTTGGTATTAACCTTAAAGTTTTTGGAGAGAACAATCACACTGTTGCCAAAAACTACGTCGACTTGGGGCGTCTGGCGTGCGATCAAGGCGAGCTAGAGAAAGCATGGACTCTTTACGATCAATCACTTGCCATAGTAATTCAAGTTTTTGGGGAGAGCAACATCCATGTTGCCGCAAACTATACGGACATTGGCCGATTGGCGAAGGATCAAGGCCAGCTGCAATACGCCCAAGAAATGTACGAGCGCGCTCTCTCGATAAATCTGAAGGCCTACGGAGAAAACAACCACAATGTCTCGGCGATCTACATTGACATCGGGTGCCTAGCGAATGATCAAGGGCAACTTAATTGTGCCAAGGAGATGTTTGAGCGCGCCCTTGAAATCGATCGTCGCGTTTTTGGAGAAAGCAATCAAAACGTTGCCTTTGACTATTCGAATCTCGGCCGATTGGCAAAGGACCAGGGTCAGCTGGAGCGGGCCAAATGTATGCTGGAACTTGCACTGTCCATTAACCGTCGAGTCTATGGAGAAAACAATGTCGCCACAAACTATTCCGACTTGGGTCATTTGGCCAGGGTTAAAGGCGAGCTTACGGACGTAATGGAGCTTTTTGAAAAAGCGCTGAGAATCGATATCCAGGTGTATGGTGAAAACAATCAGCACGTTGCGGCAGACTATGCCGACATTGGTCGTGTGGCACGTGAACAGCACCAGCTGAGATATGCAAAGGAGAATTTTGAAAAGGCGCTTCGAATTCATAGTAAAGTGTACGGGGAAAGCAACCCAATCGTTGCTCGGAGGTATACCGACATAGGTCGATTGGCAAGGGATCAAGGCCAATATGAATACGCCAAGAAGAATTTCGAAATGGCGCTCAAAATCGATATCGAGGTATATGGAGAAAACAATCAAAATGTTGCCTTCAATCTTGTCGACATTGGTCGCCTTGCCATGTGTCAAGGCAATTTGGAATACGCCAAGGAAATGTTTACGAGAGCACTCAGCGTGAATATTGCAGTTTTTGGAGAGTACAATCAGAATGTCGCTGTTGGCTGCCGCGACGTTGGCCTTGTTGCGATGGAACAGCGCCGTTTTGATGACGCAAAGAACTTTTTCCGGAGGGCGTATCGCATATCTGTTCAAGTCTATGGACAGGACAATCGACAGATAGGAACTTGCTGTGTCGACTTGGGCCGTGTAGAACGGGCCCAAGGGCGGATTGTAAAAGCAAAGGAGTTCTTTGAACGGGCACTATCTATTGCTCTCAAATTCTACGGAGAAGACGATCGACACGTTGCAGCAGCTCAACGCAACGTTGGTGATGTGGCCAGGGTTCTAGGTCAGTTCAAACAAGCAAAGGAGATGTTTACGAAAGCACTGAACATCGATATCAAAAAATTTGGTGATAGCCACCTGAAGGTAGCCATCGCGTACCGTGAATGTGGGCTTGTTGCCAGTGATCAGGGGTACCTGTGGGAGGCTTTGGAGATATTCGAAAAGGGGCTTGAAATAATCGAGAGGGTGGTAGGGGTAGATAGTCGAACTATTGCGGCCTTCTACAACGATGTTGGTCGAGCAGCAAGGGACCAGGGACTACTGGAATATGCCGAGGAGATGCTCGAAAAGGCTCGCACTCTCCATGTGGAGGTATATGGAGAGACCAGTCACATTTTCGTTCTGAACTGTATCGAAGCTGGCCGTCTGCACCATCTTCAGGGAAATTTTGAAGACGCGAAAACTATGTTTCTGAAAGCCGCTGCCGCATCCCATGCCTTGGGGAAGGATCACTATGCAGCATTCGCGAACCAATTCCTCGCTGTGGTTTTGAGTGAGCAAGGACAATTCGAAGAGGCCAAACAATTGTGTGAAATGGCATTACATGGGCAGATTAAGGCGTTTGGGGAGAAGCACTCTCGAGTTGGCACAACCTACAATAGCTTTGGTGTTGTTTTGTCAAAGGAGGGGCGGGACACCAAGTCAGCGAAGAAAATGCTGGAAAACGCTCTTGCAATTCGCATAGAATCCATGGGAGAAGATCATTTCGAAGCCGCAGACACTTATGAGAACTTGGGGGACGTGTTCATGCGTACTGGAGAATTTCGGAAAGCTGAAGCTGTCTACTCGAAAGCGTTTGATGGTCGACTAAAGTGCTTTGGAGAAGGCCATGAGTTTGTCCTTCAAACTCGTTCGAAGCTTTTCGAGGCAAAGTCTGCTGCGACGACATGAACATGAAACAACCAGTTGCTGGTGAATTTTCAAAGTGCAGTCGACCACAACCGACCTCAGTTGGCTTTCAGCTCCTCAGCAAGACGAAGCAGGCGGCATGAAGAGTAGTGGCCGATACCTGATATGTTGCTGAGTCCTCGACGGCACTACAAACGCTTGCTTTGCACGATAGTACAAAGGATGCCTCCTCTGAATCTCGGATTGATCTGGTAGTCAGTGGGAATGGCCAAGCGAAAGCGAAACTGAGATTTCTCACATCTCCAGCATGTCCTGTAACCTTCATGATTGGCACCTTCACATCATCCATTCTCCCATTGATATACGCCCTCTGTAATATCTTTTGCTCAAGCAATCAATAAAAGTATATATAACATACATCGCAGTCAAACCCACTTTCAACAGGTGCGTCTTTCAAACAAACTAGCTGTACCTATCGTGAGACGATATCGTTAGGTAGTGGGTTCCAAATATTGGCCCGTAATTTGACCAGTTCGACTTCGTCTTCGCACCGTGACCAAGACCGAAACTTCGCAACACGCTACTGTACAGTACCCATAGCACGAGTTTACATGGTCAGAGTCAACACAAGCAAACTCCAACTTTCAATTCAAAGTTGAGTTTCACAACAGGCGGTTTACTATAACTTCATCTCCGCCTTCTATCTATGCTTTCAGAAGAGAACTTGTATTCGACTTTCATCGATAATGTGATGTCAGGAGGCACGTCATACTTCCTTGGGTACGATGCTTATGATGCCAAGAGAGGCAGCAATATGGGGCAAGTAGAACAGCAACCACAGCAACTTCTGGACGCTATCCTTGGGAATGCTATTAGCAGGGTGAAGAACCTATTATCAAGGGGTGTTGCAGATCCGAATACATGTTTGGGAATTGGTCCAGTGAACGCTGCTTCAAATAACGATGCGGAAACCCCATTAGTGGAGACCACTAGCAATAATGCTATCAAGAATAATGGTTTCAAGGCCTTTTCACCAGCTCAGCCAACAAGGAATACTTCGAAAATGGTCGAACAGATGAAAAGTATTGATAAAGTGTTTAAATGGACTCGGGTATTTGGCAATAGTCCAACCTTGATTCACATTGCGGTTTTGAACATTTATCATCGCCATACGCGATCACGAGATCTTGAACGAGCCTTGGGGATTCTTGAATTGCTATTGGAACACGGTGGAGCTGTGGACTATAGATCAATGAATATCTACCTCAGATCTGTTGCGATGGCTTCTAATCCTTTGGACTTTGCCATTGGCCTGCAGAAAAAGGCTTTGTATCAAAAAAAAGAAAACCTGGCGTTCGCCATGACGCAAGCCGTTGGGATTCTTCGTAAACCATGGAAAGGAGGAGAAGAAGGCATCACCTACAACAGTCAGAATATCGAAACCAACAAGATTCCCTTTGAACTTGTCACGTTTGGATGCATTGATAGCGCAAAAAACTACCTTTATCAACCTACAGATCACCCAGATATCCAATTCATTTTCAGCAATGATGATGGTGATACAAGTGTTTCAAGCAATGAGGCATGATTCATTTGATGGGCTTTAAACACATCTTATTGTTACGTGCTTTCAGCGCGTCTACATATGTGAGAAAACATTTACCTACTGCTGCTTGTTGGTCTTGGCTTTCTCTCGAGGGGGAAACGTGTACGGAACTCGTTCACGGTCGGTCCACTTCCAGTCACGGGAGCAATACAACAGCGCATCTTGATTCAAAACCACGGTCTCGGCTTGAGATATGCTATTTTCCAGATTCACGATACATGCAGTGTCACGTTCTGCAGAATCTCCTCTTGACAAAGAGATAGGAGCATGAATCGACGCAGAGGAAGTTGCGGAATGGGTATCTTGACCTGGTAGACACAACAAGTATTCAGAAAGTCCAACGCTTGGAAGTGACTGAAAGATCTGTATCAAGGTTTGCCAGTGCAGCATTGGATTGCTTGCTTTGTTCGCAGCAGACGCCAAGGCATGGGCAATACTTGTCTCTTCCAAATCCACAATTTTGCAAGTTTGCGAATCCACCCTGGCCATTCTTGTTTTGACATTGTGCTGAAATAGCATCTGATCCAAGATCCACAATGATTTTTCGTAGAGCGAAGCTTCTTCTATACCCCGCTCGGGAAAGTATTCCGCATGAGGCCGAATCACAATGGGAATTCCCTCCCTGTCGACCATGCGAACAGTGGACCGAACCAACACGCGGATTGGTTGTCGTCTCATTGCTGCGGTAGTAGCAGGCAGTGTCCAAAGAGTGTAGACATGCTTGAATTTGATTTTGTCGCCGTCGTCATGATGATAGATCCCCTCTTGCAATCCCAGCTCGAGACATTGTCGAGGCATCATTGGCTGAGCAATTGGTTTATCCAATATTGTAAGGTCCTTGTTGTTCGTTGTAGTAGCAAAGAGCATCCACCGAGCACGAGTATCCCTTGGCAACTGCAATAGGGTTTCGAGCGTCTCTACCGATGTTAAGATGATAGCACCTTTTTCTTTTGCCAATTCCATGGCCACGGTGTCGTCCTTTAGCCAGCTCCTCGTGCTATTAGTACTACTGCCAGACTTGATACTTGTAGATGGTACTTTGATTTGCGACCCAATCTGTGGCAAATCGGAGGCTGGCATGTCTCCTTGCGTCTCGTTATCATTATTACCATCATGCTGGACGACTTCAAAGTGCAAGGCATCCACATCCAGCAACTTGGGATATCTGGATGGGAATGAGAGGATTTGAAAACATTTGCCAAAGTGCATTGGAAGATTGATATCGCCTTGCCATTCTTGATTGATTTCCTTTTGATGATTGGATGCCCAACGACAAAATGGATTCGCAGGATGCTGCTGCCCTTGGAATCCAGCCCGGAACCGATCCTTATGTGTAGTATAGAATGTTGATAGAGCTTGTCGAAAGGTGGCTTGTTCCGTCTTGATCATGGCAGTCAACGTTCTCAATTCCTTTCGTTCATGTTCTTTTCGTCGTTCTGTCTGTTGCGAACCGGTCAGCTGTAAATATCGTCGATGTTGTCCTTTGGTCAGCGAGGAAAAGGAAGGATTGTCGATGTCATTTTGGATTCCATTTTCATCTTGATTCGATAATGATGATGATTCTTCGGTAGACAACAACAAGCCTTTTGGTTGGCCTGTGAATCCTGTTTTCTGGTAAAACTTTTGGAAAATGGGTGCCTGAAGGGGATTGAAAGTAGTAGCAGTAGTAGTAGTAGTAGTAGTAGTAGTAGTAGTAGTAGTAGTATTGATAGTAGAGGTTGCTGTAGATTGAGGTTGGCTACCAATAAGTGAGGTCAATACCTGCACCGAGGCAAGTGGACGTCGTGACGATGATAATGGAGTAGTAAACTGCTGAAACCAATCTTCGTCACGATTGTAAGCGTTGCTTTCTTGTATTTGAATCCACTCCTCTTCAGACTCTGGGACAATTACTTTGCGCAACTGCAATGGATGTGGGTGGCTTTCGAAGACTTGACGACTCCGTTTCATCTTGATGATTCCGAGGTTATTGTGATGTTGCACTGCGGGCGTGATGTTCCTATTTCTCATCATGTCTCACTTTCTCCTTTCGCCAATTCCAAAAGGCAATGGTAGCAATCCCGGATGTGGAACTGAGATTTCAGATCCTTGGGAAGTGTCCCACGATTGAGCAGGCAGGAAGTTTGAGAAAAATGCTTTTCATCATCATCGCCGAAAGGACTGGCCATGAATTGCCGCTCACCGCAATGAGACCGTCTCCAACGCCAGCCAAGGACAACGCAAAATTTTTGGAAACTAGACTGGCGTTAATAGCTACAGTAGCTATATAGGTATATTCATTCTCACTTACAGTGGACACTCATTTTCCAAGAACCACACTTAAGCGTGGACAATTAATTTTTCTCCTACCGGTACTGTACAACTACACAAATACAGTAGTGATGTAATCTTTGCTTTTGATTAATAATATATGATATAATTCTATTTCGTAAGGAACTCAGTAAGGTCGGTTCCATCTAACCAATAATCCTCCGTTCCAATAATATTGTGGAACGGATTAGATTACCGCCTCGTTTTTTCACCAACCAAATCAGTGAATTCGTTCCCCAGTCTAAGTCGATGCCTCGATCTCTGAGAGTCTGTGGTATCCATATTGTTTGTATGCCGATCAATGTCCATCATTTGAGAACGATTAGGAATAATCCCCCGCACGACCGAGGGATTGACATTCGCTTGCGCCATTTGATAATCCTCTTCAAAAAAATCATCAATGTCATCGTCTTCATCCTCGTTCTGTTCAATTCCAGGATACAGTAGACCCTTGATGATACCATTGTGCTCTGACTCGGTATCCAACGACCGTTCGCCTCGTTGGGCGTGGTGCGAAGAGTCCCGAAGCTTTTGCAATTCGTCGGCCACCAGGTACTTGTAATTGTGGGTTTGCCTGGTTTCATTGGGCGTCATATTGGAGCCGCCGCTCGCCGCAGTGTCTTGACTGCGAGGAAGTCGTCGACCGGAGTCGTTACCGTTGCCTGCTACGGGGCTTAAGCCTGCAAAGTTCATTGTCGGTGTTGTTTGTTTGTTTGTTTGTTTGTTAAAAGGAAAGACGACAGTGGGACTGCGTGTAATAAATGTTGTGTCAAATGCTTGCGAATGGGAAGTTTGCTGTTGAATCTCGAAACTTCTGGAGTCAGAGAGGCAGAACGGTACCGGAGACTAAATACTCGTACGGGCATTTCGTAGAGCGACGCAATGTAGGGGCCCATTCGTATCAATTAGGCATAAATCGGTCTTGTTACGACATCTTTACGACAAGAGCACATTTAGCTTACCGGTCTTTTTGGTCGCAACCAAAAACTGGTGAGAAAGGTTCGTTTCTTTCACGAATTCGAATGTTCCATCGCCGGAAGAGGAACAATCTCGAGACACCAAAGGATGTCAAACGTATTCACTTTGTTGTACCTATGTAATCTTGTAGGTACAATATGCTAGTATTCGGAACCCTGAGGGACTGAAGGGTACCTTTTGTCATGCTTGGTGTTAGATATGGAAGGGATGACTGAAAGATGTTCCTCATCCTGCAGCACATCATGTCAAAATAGCGGATGCATCATCACCATCATCATCATGATCAAGGCTCGTTTTGGTCGAACTGGGGGAGAGCACTATTATTGATCCCACGTAGCAATCATCTTCCGAAAGAACTTTGTGAAAGCAACAATGGTCCTTCACCATCTTTGTGGCAAAAGGAGAAACCTATCACCGCCCTCTCAAGCTTTGCAACTTTGTCATTTTATTGTTGAACGAAGCTGTTGAACTCTCCTTCACGAACTCGTGGCAGCTGTCCGTTTTTATGTTTTGCTGGCAGTCTTGAATTATATTTTTAAGAACGATATTGAAACCTCTACTACTACTGTATACGGTAGTTCCTCCTCGGTATGCTGGGTCATATGATCTGAGTTGTTGATGCAAGCATAATTCAAATTCGCGAGTTTTGTAGTTAATCATACTCGAGCTTTCACCACCAACTTTGGACAAAAGAGTGCACCTTTCCATCAACGCATTGGAGTCGTAGGCAAAACTATTCTCAACTTTTCTTTGATTTTAGAATACCCCTTTACTGCTTTCCAAGACCCCCACCACTACCAGACGACCCGGAAAAATTGCAGTTCCGAGCGACTTTCCATTAACATGGGGAACTGACTGCGTATTCCCCTTCATACCGTTGGGGTACTTCAATTGTTGAACACTTCGCAGGTCATTCTAGATTATCATGTATTATACAGCTTCCCAAGCGGTACCATCATCCTACCGGTACTGGTTCAGGTAGACTGAAATCAAAGATCGATTCGATCGAACTAGATAGAAAAAAATCGAACTAGTCGAACATGATCCGCGTGAGCGCGCAATAGTGCGTAGTGCGATGAGACCGATGAGATTGATTTGCACGATCGAGCTTTTCTCACATTTCATGCATTCCATTTCATTCTGCTTGGTTCACCAATATACATATATTTTTAAAAATCAAAGAGCATGTCTTCTTCAGTGGTATTAGACAATGTAGATGACTATTTGGCGCCATCGCAAGCTTGCATCAATCCGCTTTTCCAGCCCCCTGACGCCGCCAAGGCTGACGACGACAAGGCAACACGAACGACAATCGCCAAGGTCGTTCCTCGTCGCAGAAGACGGAGAACCCCAATATCTGATGAATCAAAATCATCATCGACTACCACTGCCACTGGTACTGGTAATGGTACTAAAAATAAGACTGAAACCATCCAAAATGAAGAAGGGGACAAAGCTGCAACAACAAGCGAGCAGGGGAAGAAAGATTCGGTTGTCAAGGCATCGATTGCTGATTGCTTGGCTTGTTCCGGTTGCGTGACAACAGCAGAAACAGTTTTGTTGGAGCAACGTCATTCCCTCCAATCCCTGCGTCAGAAACTGGAATTCGCTCGGGGACGATCCCGCACCATCACCATTTCTCCGCATTCCTGGGCGGATATTTGTCGCCACTGGAATCTATCATCATCTCCCTCCGTATCAAACAGCCACTGCACAGACAATCGGAAGAATCGGATCCAAGATCCCTTTCGCCTTCAATTTACGACGCTGTTGAGCCAGGTTTTGGATGCAGATATTGTCGTAGATGGCAGTCTTCCTTTGCAGTGGACCTGGTTGGAGGAAGCACAGGAATTTGTTGAACTGTACCGTAGCCGGCAGAGGCGTCTAGCTGATTCACAACAATCAGATTTGTATGAAGAAGAAAAAAACGACTTGAACGCAAGTAAACGAAAAAGTCCTCCTTTAACATCCACTGCAGTCGATGGCACAAAGACAACCTACTATTTTCCTGAAGGGACATCGAAGACAGTAGACAACAGCAAAGATGAATATGATGAGACATCCTTACCCTTGATCAGTGGCTCGTGCCCTGCTTTGGTGTGCCTAGTGGAAAAATCAAGATCCAATCTGGTCCCTCACTTGTCACGAACTCAATCACCAATGAGTATGATGGGATCAGTTTTGAAGAGACTAGAACAAGACCAGAACCACGAGAATAAAATTATCACAAAAACTGCTACAGACACGTGGGATCACTGGGCGATCATGCCATGCCATGACAAGAAGTTGGAAGCATCACGCCAGGATTTTGTGTTTCCAAATCCCAAAAGGAGCGCCGTTGATTTAGTCATTACTACCTCCGAGTGCGTGGAGCTGATTGAGGAATATGTGCGATCTCAAAAAAAAGACGAATCGCATTGTGCGGAGTTGACAGTGGCATCTTATCTTCAAGATTTGCCTTTAGCGAAACAAAAGGCTATTACCGAATACCACGAAGTTCCTTCCAAAGCTCCAACTGAAGCAACATACTTGACAACAACGTCAAATTCGAGTTTAGCGTTCGGAAATAATGACAACACGAACAAGATGGTTTCAAAGACACAAGGAGCCATAGCATCTGCACACTCCTCAGGAAGTCATGCTGATTTCATATTTTTGTATGCCGCACATGAACTCTTTGGGTGTGTTTTGGACACGGTATCATGGAGTTCCGCCGAAGCCGTGAATACTGGGCATGATGAACCCAGTAACGACAGTGCTGCAAGCGATAGTCGAAAGAGAGTAATCAAGAGTGCCCGGCTAGCACGCGCACAAAGGCAGCACTACTACAAGGCTCAACTATTTCGGCAACAGGATGGTACCTATTCACAGACACCATCAGCTTCATCTCCTGTCTTGGAGTTTTCGATTGCTCATGGAATGCAAACCATGCAAAGGGCTTTAACGGAGTTGGAAGAAAAAAGTAATAGTAGCG